TGCCTAAAGTATACCTGAATAAGGCCAATGTGTATACTGTATACCTTATGGACGCTTGGGGACTGTGCTGTTGGATGGTTCCGGAATTCTGCTCCCCGACTGCTCCTTGTTTGGGTTAATGACGGCCCCCGAGAGGCAAATGTTGCGATGTTTATTGCCCCACCGATCCAATCCCGCCTCCTCCCACCCACCCCCCTTCCCACCTTCCCCCACCCACCCGCCCCACAAACCCAACATAAAAAAGGCAAAGCCATCAAATTCCGAAATTTTGCAAAAAGCAGAGGTTCTGTGTTGAGCAGGGCCACAGGCAAGCTTAGAACCCGCCCCCCCCCCCCCGACAAAAAAAAAAAGATGATCTTGGAGGAATTGAAAATTTATTCTTCTGGATTCTCCCTAAACCCTAAACCCTAAACCGATTCTCAGAGCACACGATCCCCAACCCCGCACACGATCACGAAACCTCAAACCTGAAGCTGAAACCGGCTTAATCCCGTGATCGTCGCAGAATCTCGAAGCCTGAACCCCGCCTTCGAGTACAAATTTCGCCATATCCGATAGTCACAGAAATCGACCCTACGGGAAAAGCACTACGACCTATCTAGGCCTCTATCCTAAACCCTGTTTCCTGTTTGCTGCCAAACACTGAAACATCTGACCGCCAACCCCCAAATCCGCCACCCAATGTCCCTCCTGTAGTCTCAATTTCATAGGGACCCTTAGAGGGGGATAAGGGGGGAGGGGGGGAGGGGACTGTACATTCTTTAAACAAGTCCTTATGAAGCCTTTGATTTTTTGTTTTAAGGCCCCCTACCCCACTACCCCCTAACCCCTTTAAGGGTCCCTATGACCACTGTATAGTTTTGGATAAACCAGTTTCATGGTTAGGATGCTATACTATAAACTTGGTTATCCTTAAAGAGGAACTACAACGGAGACTATAGGCAGACTCTATAATCTCTGAACGCTCTGTTGACACATTTAAACACACCACGTAATGAGATAACGGCCCCACAGATGCGAATACCGAATCCGAGATCCTCATGGCGCAGATACGCTAAGCCCTAGAAAGTTGCAGCCGTTGTTGGGCAATGTGAAGTGAACCTTAAGAAGGTTGGAACATAGTTTCTTACTTTCAGGGCATGAGAAAACTGCTGTTCCAATTTCTGGCTTCTACTTTAAGGAGCACAGGCTTCGGGCGGTCGACCAAAGCATAATTTGGTTGGGACTCGAATCCGAAACCCAAAGCCCCAAAGACAAACCCCTAAGCCCTAAACCCCAAGAGTCCTTCTCCATGTCCTTCGCTGGCCCCAAACCCCTAAACCCATAAACCCCTAAACCCTAAGAGTCCTTCTCCGGTAGATCGATCGGGGATTGCCGCCAGAGACGTCCCCAACTCTGCAGGGTTTCCTTCATGGAGATACCTGAGGCTTTTGCGAAAAACCATAAAGTTGGAAACCGGATTAAGGCCAAATAGTGCTGGGATGCTCTATACTACATTACTCTTAAGGATTGAGGCAAGTGGGTTTCAACTTTTAGGCTTCTGCTGTAGAGTTTACTTGGAGGGTCGAGGACTTAGTAAGTAGGTAGTAGGTAGACTTATAAGTACCCTAAAAGGGACCGAAATTGGGGTTATGGTACGTATAAGCGCCTAAAATAACCAGTTACCAAGTCCCCCGACGCTCCAAGTATGATCCTAAACTCAAAACCCTAAACCAAAAACCCATGGGTCTCTCCCTGGAGACACGCTTTAGGGTTTAGGGGTTGAGCTTATTGAGGCTAGGGGGGGGTTCTAACGGCACATAGGGATTCCTAGACCCGAAACCTCAATGACTTGAAGAATTAAGGATCTGGGATTTCGTATGGCTCTTCTGGTGGTTCGGCTGCGGTACATACTGTTGATGATATAAATCCTGCATTACCCATAATAAGGAATATACCATAATTCCCATAGTTTAGGGTCCTTAAGGTAGTGCAGGGTTTATATCATCAACCGTATTCTTAGACCTCCAAAAACTTCTTTAAGAAGCTAGAGTTTACTGCTGTGGCTGAAGGGACTAGGGGGTCCAGGTTGTCGGATTTGAAGTGTGGTGTTGTAGGGTTTAGGGTTTTAAGTTTTAGGGTTTAGGGGTTTAGGGGTTAGGGTTTAGGGTTTAAGGTTTAGGGTTTAGGGGTTTAGGGTTTAGGGTTTAAGGTTTAGTGTTTAGGGGGGAAAATCTCGCAAGACAGCATAGTAGTCTCCACCCCACGTTGTCTCTTACTCTAATCATTAAGACCCCTACAACGGCTTGTTTAAAGTCAAACCCTAAACCCTCAACACCCCAACTAAAGCCTAAAACCTGAAACCCTGAACCTTAAACCCTAAACCCCGAACCCCCAAACCCTTAGGTTGCCTCGCATCAGCTCGTTGCTGGTCACCGTCAGGATCCTTGGTTGCTGAGTTCATAGGCCCCAAAAAGCGTGAATTGCTAGGGTTAAGGGCTTAGCGGTTCTGTGCATGGGGGGTGATGCATAAATTCCAAAAAGTTTGAAGAATCAGGGTTTAGGGTTAGGGGGCTCTATAGGGGATTGCGTTGTCGCGAAAAGCCTAAATTACCAGGGCTGGGGGTTCAGGGATTCTATGGGAGATTTCGTTGTCCCAAAAAGTGTAAGGTGTACTCGCTCAGCTGACGAGGATCTTGTCGACATGCAACCGAGGTAGGGACTCGGATTCGTCACTGTCACTACCTGGTGCACCAGATGCCCCACAGCTGTTTATGGGTGTAGGGTTGCGGGCTCTGTTTTAAGGCCCTTTTTCTGACCGCAACTTTAACTGTTCCCAGCAGAAAAACTAAGGGTTTGGGGTTTAGGGTTTCTTTTGCTGACCCTGTAGATGGCCCCCTGAAACAAAAGTCTGCTGTGAGCTATAGGTACGACTGTTGTCGCAGATCCCACCATCGGCTTCAGCTGCTTCAGCATCAGTGTCCACCAGCTTCTCTTCGGCACGGCTGCAGTTCTTGTAAACTCCAACCTCCATACTCTGCATCGCATCGTGTATATGAAGGATCTCGACGTTGGGTTTCGCTGCTTCAATATCCAATTTATCCGGATCGCAGTGGTTGCAGCTAGGTCCCGCCCCCATGGTTCACAGCGGAGCTTTGCACTCAACGCGGCATTCGAGGAGCGGGCACGCATGCTCGAGCCCAAAAGATGGGTGCAAAACATGCGAACATCAGCAATACGAGCTCCAAAACATTCCAAATCATTGGAGCCCTATGCCCTTTAACGCTAAAGCCCCAAGTCCAAACCTTGGCGCGGACCTTTCAATCAGGGACCCAACACGCTAAGCCCGCTGAACCTTGAGCCCTAAATCTGTACCATAAACACAAATTCTACGCCTCAATATACTAAAAAACCCTAAAGTCTAGGCTTCAATACCCTAAGACCCGGAACCCTTGAACCCTTCCACTAAAGCCTTAACCGCTAAGCCCTAAACCTCTTAAAACCTAAACCCCGTAAGCCCTAAACCCCCTAAAACCTAAACCACTAAAACCTTGACCGCTAAACCCTAAACCTTAGAAGCCCTACACCCCTAAACCCTAAACCTCTTAGAAACCCTAAACCCAAAACCTCCGCCTCTACGGGTACCGGGCTTATAGCGGTTAATGAAGGGTTTCAGGTTTAGGGATCTGATGATCCCGATCCCTAGACCAAAGCCTCGAACACGGTTGAAGTTTAAATCGAAGCCTCCCGGCCAGTGTTGGCAAAACCCCTCTGGCAAGCGTAGAAACCACCCAGAACATGGATGAAAGCATGATGAAGGCGAGGGTTCCATAGAGTCCTTGAGGGCTTCGGGCAGGTTTGGGTTTATCGTTAAGGGTTCAGGTCGTATCGGAACGGCTAAAACGTAGCATTATCCTAACCCTGAGCCCCTAAACCCAACTAAACCATGTGTTGGACTAGACGCTACAGCAGTCCCCAATCCCATGAACCCTCACCGGATTTGTCCTTCAGTCGAGCTCGGACGCCCGTAAAGGAACCCTATGGTGATCCTTGTACACTCCTTGGTATACAAACCTTTCTAGTAATCTTCGAATACCTTGGAGGGCACTCAACGAAGTCTAAAGCTAGTTGAGGGGTTTAGGGTTTACGGGTCAGGCCTATCCCGTAAACCCTACTCGAGCTTGGGGTTGTGCAATCTTTCGGATTTCGCAACCGATTCTTGGGCTAGACTGGCCCTAACGACCCACACTCAACTCGCGGGTTTAGGGTTTAGGGGTTCAGGGGTTGAGGGCTTACGGTTTGGGAACCTTATAGCCTCAACCCCTCAACGCTAAAGTCTAGAAGAAACCGCATCAAATCCGTACGAAGACTCCTCGCGCCCTTTTTGTTCAACCCAGCCCCGCTCTCTGCTGCTGCTGCGGCTGCTGCTGCGTTTTCAAACACATCAACACAGCTGATTTGGGGGCTTCTGATGGCTTCTTGGGGTCGGTTATTCTGTAAGGTTTTGAGATTGACGTGTGTTTTTGAGATGTTGATGAGCTCAATGGGTGCAAAATAAGGGTGATCTTTCTGGGGTTCTTATAGAGTAAGAACACTACAAATCAGGTGACAACTTGGAAAAACTTGCCTCTGAAGCTTAACCCTAAACCTGAACCTTAAACGCATAGTACCCTGAACCCTCGAGTTGGGAAAACAGGTGTGCCACCACGTTTTGCAAAATCCGCAGACAATGTGAACCGCAGATACCATAAGCAAAGCTCTGTACTTGCCAACGTTGTCCCTTCTGCACCTATGAAAATTCGGTTTGAAATACATCAAGAAACACCCCCCCGTTGAGTGAATACACAATAGCCTACCTAGACCCCTGCGCCCTTGACACTGCTCACTACTTAAGCGCCCTTACAACCATAATCAAACACATCCGGAGTTTCCCCCTGGAGTTGTAGTCCACTAAACATAAACAGATAATTGTCGAAAGCACCACAGATGCTGAATGTTGTTTTTCGCAAAATCTCATCACTTCACGTCTTCTCCTCCTGGCTCGAGGGGCTCAGGTTTCTGCATTCGTCCTTTTGTGTTCGCTTCGGGGTTTGAGGTTTGCTCAGGGCCCCCTAGCCCCCAAAACATCCACCATTGAATGCTACAGGTCCCCTAAACCCTGAAACCTGACACACACACACACACACACACACAACGCGCACGCACATGCACACAAAAACACACACACACACACACACACACACACACACACACACACACACACACACACACACACACACACACACACACACACACACACACACACACACACACACACTGGAGTGTTATCAATGGTTGCCGGCATCTGGAGAATGCCGATCTGCGGCAGGATGACCTGTTTTATCGTCGCGTCGTGACGATCCCGCGGCTTGTCTAATCATGTCGTCGTCCGGGGCTCAGGGTCCTGGCCCAATGGGTGGCAAACCAGCTATATGCTTAACGGCATCCAGGAACTGCCCGCAGGTACGTTTACACTGCATGTGGCTGGTGTCTTCGTTGATGGGAGACCGGCAGACATGCACTCCCATCCCTTGCGTTGATTCGACTCTAGGACTCGCACACGGCGTGCAAGGCTTCCAGCGACAGTTTCTGAAACAAGGTTGAGGACTTGCTTCATCCCTCGTGCTGATCGGGAGTTGCTACAAGCACACACACACACACACACACACAAAGGCACCTTAAGGGGTCCTGATAAGTTTCAAGTGGAAGGCTCGCTTGGTAACAGTGCATGGATCATGATGGATCTCTTTCTGCGAAAGAGATCCCTAAACCGTAAACCCTGAACCCCCAATGTAAATTCATAGACCGCGTTGGTCAAGAGAAGGATCCTTCCCCCGAAGGCTGAAAAACAGCCTCAAAGCCATGTAAAGTATGGTCTCGGGGCCCAAAACCCAATAAGACATGTCCTTACTGCCTGAAACCGGTGCTGTGAGGCACCGCCAAAAAAACGAGAGCCACGTTATTAAGAAGCTGCATAGCAGGCACGCGGCGCTTTTGGTTGAGGTCCCAGGGAAGGGGCAGGAAAATTGAGAATTGGCTTTCGGGGGCAATGTAGGAACCTGATTGAGAAACCCTGGGCCTGTAACCCCAAAATAGCAGGATTCATATCACCCGAATCAAGGCCCAAGGTTTCTTAATCAGGTTCCTACAATATGTTGGACGATAAGTGTGCGAGGACTTTAACAGGAGCCGACGGTAGCAGCACAGGGTTCAGTTTCAGAGTTCAGGTTCTAGGGTTTAGGTCCGACAAAGGATGCCTTGCATCCGACCGAAATCTCCATGTACCATGTAGCCAGCCACAAGACAGTTGGAATAGGCCTTCGTTGAATCTCTACTTGCTAAGGCATACTACGGAATAGCATTACCCAAATTACCCAGACCTTCCAAAATCCCTGAATTTCGGGAGAATCCTGACTTATAGTAGGATCCCTAAGATGATTTAAGGTATTTCCTCAACTAAGGGATCTTGGAAGGTAGCCACCCTAAACCTTATAGATCCCCTTAACGGAACCCTTAAGGATACCCCCAAAAGGCCCTGAGGGTCTGGGTACCAAGCAGTGAAGCCCCTACGGTTGATATAAATCTTGCAATACCTCAAGGACCCTAAACTATGGGAATTACGGTATAGTCCTTACTCTGGGTAAGCTTAAGGACCCTAAAATATGGGAATTACGTTATATTCCTTATGATGGGTAACCCTTAAGGACCCTAAACTATGGGAATTACGGAATGTTCCTTATGATGGGTAACCTCAAGGACCCTAAGCTACGGGAATTACGGTATATTCCTTATTATGGGTAACCTTAAGGGCCCTAAACTAACTGAGATTACGGTATATTCCTTCTTATGGATAACCTTAAGGACCCTAAACTATGGGAATTACGGTATATTCCTCACGATGAGTAAGGGAATTACAGTCTATTCCTTATGATGGATAACCTTAAGGACGCTACACTATGGGAATTACGATATACTCCTTATTATGGGTAACCTTAAGGACCCTAAAACTATGGGACCTTTTTATGGGTAACCTTAAGGACCCTAAGCTATGGTAACTACGGTATACTCCTTATGATAAGCAATTTTTAACACCGTATGTCTGACTCACCCTCCCTGGCCTGGGGCCATCTCCGTGCTTTCAGAGACCGCCTGGCGCATGTGTCTGTGGCTTCCTCGCTGGCCCAAAACCCAGGGAAACAACAGATGAAACTCTCAGAATCGACTACCTTATACCCAGACCCCCGGGAGGATCTCGAAAGTAGATCCCTTAATCTGGGGCCCTATACTAAGAGTACCTTATAAGCACCCCATTACAGCCAATAAGCTTCTTTAACTCACTCAATTTCAGAACCCTGTGCCGGCTTAAGGGTGTAGAGTTTAGGGTTTAGAGCTTGGGGTTTAGGGTTTAGAGTTTAAAGTGTAGGGGTTAAAGTTTAGAGTCTGGGGCTTGAGGTTCAGAGTTTGGGGTTTAGAGTTTAGGGTGTAGGATTTAGAGTTTAGGGTTTAGAATTTGGGGTTTAGGGTTTAGAGTTTAGGGCTTAGGGGTTAGAGTTCAGGGCTTAGGGTTAGGGGTTTCGGGCGCTCCCCGCTCCCGCATTCGTACTTCCAAAAGTCCTTGCTCTGACGTGCAACAGCCGACGCTGCAGCTGCTCAGTCTAAACCCCTAAACCTCTGTGCTCCATAGAGTTTTGGAATGGTGGGTTTTGGAATGCAGAGCACCCAGAACACCGGTCTGGGGGGCCATAAAAACCCTAAATACAAAACCCTTGAGCCACTCTAAACCCTAAATCCTGAATCCCAGATGCTAAGCCCTAAATCCTACACCCTGTATATCCGTGAACCCTGGACCTGGGTGGTTGTCAAAAATATGGTCCCTTTTTGGGTCCTTAATATAGTGCAACCTAATATTTAGGGTACCCAAAAACAAGGACGAGAGCTACCCTTCTAAATCCTAAGCCAATATTTTAAACCTTAAAAGCCCGACCCAGACCCCCGAAAGGATCTAGAAAATAGATCCCCTAATTTGGGGCCCTATACTACCAAGGGTGCTTTATAAGAACCCCCGTCAAGGGATGTACTTTTTGGATCCTTCCGGGGGTCGAACCTCCCCTAACCCCAGGCCTTCGAAGACGGCCGGGAGCCTTTGCCTGCAAGAGGAGGCTCAGGCGCTTCGTATTTTGGGTTGGGCTTAGGGTTCAGGGTATAGTGTTGAAGGTTTTAGGGTTTAAGGGGTCAAGGTTTAGGGGTTTACGCGTTTAGGGTTTGGGGGGTTAGGGCCCAGAGCTTCCTAAATGCCTTAAGTCAGGAATGTACCGTAAATTCAAGTAGGATCCCTAGCATGATCTGAAGGTTTGGAGTGGGGGGATCTTTCGGCCTTCGGTTCTTGTAAGGAGGACCATTTAGCGGTTGTACTGGCGTTACCGGGATTTCAAGCGGTTTCAGGGATGTAGGTTCCCCAGAGACTCCAATATCCCTGCGCGCCTCCACACCGTTTTGCCAGCCTCAGGATTCAGTTCGAGGTGGGATCGCACCGATAGAGTCGCTTCCCACTCCACAGGATACGATCAAAAGGAACACGTCCAACATAGCAGCCCTGGCAAGACCGCAGCGATAAGGCTTCCACTCGACCTGCGCCACATGTGTCCTGGACTATCCTGCAATCGGGCCCGTGGCTGACATACGTACTCTTGGTGGTAGCAACTTGCCACCGACCCTTGCAGAATTTCTCTCAAAGCCAGCGAATGAAAGGGTCGGTGGTTCCATGCGTCGCCTCCACCACAGTAGCGAAAATATCGGAGTCATGCTGCAATTGGGCTCGGAGGCTCGCTTCGGTTTCCATGGCGACTCGACAGCCATGCCGCTGGTGGCGACGAAAGCGGCAAACCCCTTCCATGTCCTGGAAACCTCGCTGTTTCCACCATTGTTTAGCGGTGGCCAATGAGATCAAAAGGATAAAGGATGCGCTCTTCTCCTGAATGTATTCCAATGCGCATGACCATGCCGCCTGCCCGCCTCCAGTTCGTTGGAGTGCCCCCAACCCGTTAATCAGGAATCCTCAGGGGCGCAAGGTCGGCTTCGGAAGGAGTTCACGCTAATTGAATCTGGCTATAAGGTTGTGCGGGCGCAATTTGGAAAATTTAGATGAAGACAAGATTACCGCGTCGCGTCACTTCCCAGCCTCGTCCGTCGCACATGCTTCTTAGCATCAACCCGCCGATGACCTTCACGGCGCCAAGCACGACGAGCTGCTGGTCAACGAGAGAGGCGGCAGAGTCTGGGTCAAGCTCTTGGCCTTGAGCCCCCGAGAGATCGGCGAGCTTTTTGGCTGCCAAGTTGCTGAACACGTCGCGCGCTGCTTGAGCGACAAAGCGCTCGCCAGCACGGAGCATGTTCAGCGGAATAGTTGGCGGCCTCAGATAAATCCCGAAGGTTGGTTGGTAGCGCTGTTCTGCGTTATGAAAATTTGTAAGATCGTAGCGATTGGTTGAAAGGGTATGGGGACCTAGTCAGAGAAGGCGTGCCATGACTATACGAGCGGCTTCTTCGTGAACAGCTCGAGCCTCAAGAGCATCAACTCGAAGAGTCATTGTTGATGATTGAAGGAGCAGCTGGTCACGGAAAGAGTTGTCGATGCGCTCCTCGGTCTCCTCTGCACTTTCCTCCTCATCGCTCTTTCCGTAGCAGTCTTCTGCGGAAATCTGGCTCTGCTCAGAATCAGCAGACTCAGAAACTGACCCATCGCAGGCATTGTCCACTTCATCACTGTCCTGAATGGTAAGAGTGTTTTTTTGCTGTCGTTGTTTTTTTGCTGTCGCTGCCGGGCGGCGCTTTTTTTTGCTGTCGTTGCGGGGGCGTGTGTTTTTTTGCTGACGTTGCGGGGGCGCGTTGTTTTTTGCTGTCGTCCCTGAGGGGCACGTTTTTGTTTCGCTGTTGGCGGGGCGCGTTTGTTTGTTTGCGCAACGACACATGTGTGTGCATGTTGCTCGCTTGCGTGAGTCCTGTGCTCCATGAGCAGGTGGTGGCAGGACGCTTGCAATCCGTTATCCGCAGAACAGCATCCGCTGGACGTCTGTCGTTGTTCGGCTTCATCATTCAGAAACTTGGGGGGGCTTCGGTTCACCTGCAAACTCAGGACTCGTCCGTAAGGAATGTCCCGTAACGCATAGGCATTAGGGATCCTACTGTAATTTAGGGTATATCCCTTAATTCCTTGAAAGAACCCTCAAGGATCCCTTGGAGGAACCCTTCAAGGAACCCTGAGGTATACTCCTTGATTACGGGATATTGGAGTCTCTCGCCTTAAGGGCTTGAGGGCTTGAAGTTCGAGATTCGCAGGGTTCTCGGACTTCTCAAACAACATCTAAATCTAAAGCCTCAACTTCCTAAACCCCTTAAGTCCTAAACTCAAACTTCCCAAACCCTCACTCAACCTGCTAAACCACTGCTTGGAGGCTCAAACTACTTTGTCTTCATGCTCGCGACTGCTTCTATTTGGGGTTTTGGGTTTAGACCGAGTCCCTGAATAGACTTAGCTGTGGCAGCCTCGGCTGTACTCGGGTAGCATATGGCATATGCACTTACAAGTTGGTTATCAATACCTGAAGCTCCCTGCAACCCCCGACATCCCAGAGACTTCAATATCCCTTAATTCAGGAATATACCTTAAATCATATTAGGGATCCTACTCTAGCTTAAGGCATATTCCTTAATTCCCTTATAGAACCCTCATAGACCCCGTTAAGGAACCCTTCAAGGAACCCTAATGTATATTCCTTAATTAAGGGATATTGGAGTCTATGGGATTCGGAGCAGTGACCCAAGAAGCAAAACGAAGCAGCCCCGCATGACCGCAGAGTCCTTCTATCTAGCCCCTGAACCCCAAACCTTAAACCCCAAACCCGAAACCCTCTAGGTTCCTGAGCAGCCCCTTTGTAATATGGGTCTCCGACAACCCGGTTTTAATAAGGAACCTTAAAACAAAAAAGGCAAAAGGGTACTTCTCAGGAACCTAGCCCTAAACGCTAGGCCCTAAGCATCAAACCCTAATCTCCAAACCCCAAACCTTAAACCCGAAACCCTTAACCCAAATCCCTAAGTTTAAGGATCTATATGGTCGCGGCATTCAACGATGCTCAAGGTTACGGCTGATTCTCCGAATTGTGTGCGTGCAGTTTCTCTATATTACATGTCTCATGTCCATAATTTGGGGCCTCATAGTTCGAGTAAACAGTTTTGTGGCGGAGTGTAAATTTTCCGATAGCGATGAAAGAGTATTCCCTAGCGATTCAGGCACCTGCATTGTGTGTGTGTGTGTGCGTGCGGGCCTGTCGCCGTCTGTTGGATGAAATCGTGATCCAGAGTGAAGGTTTATGTATTATTGGGGTTACCTGTAGGCTGCAGAATGTCGTGCTGGCCAAAAAACGCGGACATCAACCTCAAACTGGAATCCTGCAAGCCTGTTCAGTGCCCAATCTCCAAATCCTATACCCAGATAACACAAAACATGGCAAACCCCTAAACCCTAAACCCTGAACCCTAGACCCTAAACCCTCACAGCCTAGCCCTCAACACCACGACCTCGAAGCCCTCAACATGAACACAACCCTAAACCCAAAGCCCTCGAAGAAGTGCTGAAACCCGAGATTTTCCTAGAGATCTGCACGGAAACCTGTGATCTCGACTCTGAACCCCTGAATCCTGAACCCTAAGGTTTAGGGTTTAGGGTTTAGGGTTTAGGCCTCTGTCTTCCGCCGTGCTAGGACATCAAGGCTTCGAAGGGACATCGCGGGAATGCCTTGGTAGCCGTGTATCTTTGAGTCCCTTTAAGGCTTCCTCTACAGACCCCCGAATCCCGAAAGGATCTAGAAAGTAGATCCCCTAATTTCGGGCCGCATACTACTAAGGGTACTTTATAGGAACCCCCCATTAAGGGATCTACTTTTTGGATCCTCCCGGGGTGTGGGTTGAGGGCTCCTTTCAGGGTTCCTTTAGGGCTTCGCTTAGGAGTTTCTTAACGGCATCCTTCAGGGCTTCTCTCCGGGTTTCTTCAGGGGTTCCTGTGCAGTAAAAGCCAGAAACTTGGAATATCATTATCCTACTGTAAACCCTTTATGGTAAATTATAAGGTATCCTACCCTGAAACCATACTCCAACTTTCTGGAGTTCCCTTTAAGGGCTCGTTTAGAGGGTTCCTTCAGGGCTAGGGCAGGGGTTGTGGGCTTGGAGATGAGTCTTGAAGATCCCCTCTTCGCAGAAGCATACCAACAGGCAAATCTTGGACACGAAACTGGGGTGGGGAAGGAGTCCAATGCAGCGCCCCAGGAGTGTTTAAGGGTTGCGGTATTGGGTACTAGACGGGTTACTGTACAGGTGCGACGTCTAGTCTATACAGTCCACAGTCACGACGTTCTCTGGCCAGATGGATTCGCACTGCACTCTGTCCGCATCCGTGAGAAACTCCACGAAATAGCTTCTGCGGCAGAAGATGCACAGATCGGACCAACTGAGCAGCTTCACTTCACTCTCCACTGTCCACTGTCACGAGCTTCTTCTGGCCTTGCCCCATCCAACTCGAAAGCAGCGTCTTTAATGAACGAACGGTGTAGTTCAGCCGAGCACTCTCGGGCATGGAAGGTTTGCTCTGCTTCCAAGGCAATGTAAAGGCATTATGGAGCTGTTTAAGGGCTGCTGCATAACTCATAGGCTGTAGTGGGTCGATGGGCATCCCATCCGAGCCCACCGACAATAGTAGGCTAGATGGGAGTGGGATGTACGAGGGTTCAGGGTGTTGGTTCAAGCCTTTCAAGAATGAGGTTTCGGGCTTGGAAGACATCAAACTTTAGGTCCAGGCTTTTCGGAGTTCAATGTTTGGGGTTTTCGGGTGTGGGGGAATAGAGTGCGTGGGGTAGGCCGGGACACAGAAACCAGCAAAGGTGTGCGATTGCACTGCACACCAGCTACTTGAGTCACGGGGGTTTGAGCACACGATACCCAGCAAAAGTCCAAGTTCTCATGGCCACCAATCAAATATGTAGACCCAGAGAGTATAATATAGGCACATTATGTACTTCCACTGGCTCGCTGTCAAATCATGCGGGGCCCAACTCACCAGAAAAAATCCTGAACCGGCTGTAGAAAACGAGAGTTCGAATATGGGGCTTAGGGTTTCGGGTAAAGGGCTCGGAATACACCAACAAGCACACCGAAAACCCCAAAAAACTCCGACATGACTAAGCCCGGGAAACTATCCTACCCACCCTACCCTACTACCCTACTACCCTACTACCCTTCTACCCTTCTACCCTTCTACCCTTCTACCCTTCTACCCTTCTACCCTTCTACCCTTCTACCCTTCTACCCTTCTACCCTTCTACCCTACTACCACCTCGATCCTTTTCTCCCAGGATTGGGAGCTTGGACTTCGGAGGATTCGGGCCGAGCTCGGCCTCTCTCTAAGGGTTTAGTGCTTAGGGCCCGGGGCCTAAAGTCTACTTAAATAAAGGATCATGGGACTTAGTAACGGGAAAAGTATTAGGGTATAACCATACCTATATCTACCTATGACCCCACTTAATGTACTTATTTCCATACTTTCTAAGTCCTCTAATCCTCCAAGTAGGGCTTCAGACGGCGCTGTCATTCTAATGCCCTCACACAGGCTTCTGGGGCATGGATCGAAGCGGACCTACACATCCTCGGCCCTAAACCCTAAACTGCCCAACTTGGTTAACGGGTACCCTACGATAGAGCCCTCGTGTAACCCCAAAAAGGAACCCTTAAAAGGCAACCCCCCCCCCCCCACACACACAAAAAAAAACAAAAAAAAAAACAGATACCCGCGAAGGAACCCTAAACCTTATTAAAGGATCCTTAGAAGGAACTCTAAGGTCTGTCCAGATGCTACGGCGGAAAGTCACCGCCGGGTGGCCTCTTCCTCGGGACACGCGTAGATTTTATTGTTTATTCGCCTCGGCGATGCGGTCAGAGGTTCCTATTCGGATTTCCTCTATTCCCCACCTCTTAATCCCCTCCCCAGTGACCCCACCCCCAAAATCGTGGCCACCGCCCCCCCCCCCCCCCCCTAAAAAATGGAAACGTGTCGATGAGCCCCAAGGCGGTGAATTTTCACCTCCTCCAGTGGATTTTGGCTTTCTGTAGGCAGTCCCATCCCACCCCCCCTCCCCCCCTTCCCTCCCGCCCCTCCTCCGCTCGCTGACAGGTGGAGCTTTCTGGAGTTTTCGACGACACGGGACTGCAATGTAGCATCTTTATGTGTTGGGGCTCGCCTTTAAGGCTGCACCACCGGCTCCGGTGGCGCCCAGCGGCCATGCATGGCTGCCGTCTCTATTTCTTGCAAAACCTTAATGACTTCAATATACTTTAACTCTATCAAAAAAACCCCAGCAGGGTCTTAATCATTGTTTGGGCCCCTATGTTGGTATCGAATTGATGGCTTTGCGTCTCAGGCTTGTTTTAGACGCCCTTTCGTTGGGATAGGCGGAGTAACGTGGTTGAAAAGGCTGTGATGCTTCCCTAATCCAAGACGCCCACGAAATCCACAGCCTCAGCGGCCCATACTTAAGGCATCCCGCCGCTTGCGAGAGTCTTGGTATCCAGTGTCTCGGAATGACGACACCAAAATTCGTACTGATACTACCACTACTAATACTACTCACAATCATCCTGCTTCGTGTTGCTATGAACATTACTTTTACTATAAGTGCGATTCCAACTGTTACTTTTTTCCTACAAGAGCTTGCTGCAGATAGTAGCCACTCGCCGCATGCGCGCACAGCCGGGCCGAGGCGGACGACGCGCAGCGTTTCAATTATACTGCTATAATTTCCATTATATATATATATATGCATATTACCACATGCCGCCGTATGTCACTATATATCACTTTTTAGCGATATGTTAAGTATCATGTTATACACTGTTATACTCTACGGTATGATGTTATCATATCTTACTGTATAATGGCTAAGGCGCTGAGGGGCAATACCCCGTGGGTCCCATGAACACTCGCACATGTATCTAGCAAATTTAGAGCGAGGGTAAGTACACTGACTTGCCATCTTGCTTAAGGCCCCCATTCGTAAGGTCAACAGTGACGCCTGAAAGACAACCTTTGAAACTCGTGTTTTAATTAAGTAAAGGGCACTTCAGCATACTGGTCTATACTAATATTATTTCGTGGGTTCCTGATTGTACTTATAGTATAATTGGGCCCCAGAACCCTAATTATTCTATGTAAATGATTAAGGCCTCTATGTAGATCCCTTATAGAACCCTTAACGGAACCCTTATAAAGATCCCACTTATAGAACCCTTAAAGGAATCCTTATACGGTTGATGGTATAAATCCTGCATGACCCATAATAAGGAATATACCATAAATCCCATAGTTTATGGTCCTTAAGGTAATGCAGGATTTGTATCATCAACCGTAGTGCCCTTTAAAGGAGCCCCAGCTCACTCTGAGCATGCCCCAAGTCACCACGACTCCGCCTGACATGCTCTCCAGGGAGAGCTCCCCCAGCGCGTCATGCCAATCATCAGACTTCCAGGTGCAGGCCCAACCGTCTTAGGGTTTAGGGTTTAGGGTTTAGGGTTTAGGGTTTAGGGTTTAGGGTTTAGGGTTTAGGGTTTAGGGTTTAGGGTTTAGGGTTTAGGGTTTAGGTTTAGGGTTTAGGGTTTAGGGTTTAGGGTTTAGGGTTTGCCCACTTTGCTGCCAATCATCAGACTTCCAGATCGAGGACCAGCCGTCTTGCCCACTGTGCTGACAATCATCACGGCTCCAGTCATCTTGCAGCCAGAGCTGCTCGTAATCGTGACTGTGCCATCCGGCTTGAGCATCAGGCTCTTGCTGCACACGTGGCGCGGATCTTCTTCTTGCGCGCGGACATCGCCAATCCAGCCTTCCTGACCCGGATAGCCAACATGCGCCGGCTGCCCAGGCTTGAGTTTAGGGCTAAGGGCTTCTTGATTTTCGTGTTAGATCGGTTTGAGGTTGCGGCATGAGTAGAATAGAAAACGTCTGTACGGTCGGCAGCGATTGTTCTCCTCTTAGTTTAAGGGGGGGCTTAACAGAAACCTCGCTTTTTGGTAATATTGCCGAATTCTCATAACCCTAAAGCAAACCCTCAACCGTAGGATAATGGTATCCATGGTATCCGGACCCCAATTGTCGGGAACCAGAGTTCTAAGAATAAGAAACCTATCCCATGTCGCAGATTCGGAAGCAGTAAATATACAACGTCGGGGTCTGAGCATCAGAATTTTACGATCTTTGCACAGCCCCCTTTTAGCTATCAAAGTATGCAAATCGTTGTGGCCCCGATGCAAACCTCCCGGTGACCCGAATCTTCCATAGCAAACAAGTCGCGAAGGTAGAAAAACAGCTTCTGCAGCTCGCAATACCTCCGCTGAGGGTTGGCTTTAGAGAGTTGGATTGTGCGGATCGGCTTAATGGGCACGCCGCTAAATGAAACCCTAAACCTTGATGCTTTGGTTTAGTGGGACCACCGGAAAAGCCGGCGCTTCAGAAATTGGGGGCCGCCCGGATCCGAGTGCGTAATCATCGCTCACGTTGATACCCAGAGCCTCCAAAACCCCTTAAAGAAGGAATATACCTTAAATTATAATAGGACCCCTTATATGATTTAAGGTATATTCCTTAATTAAGGGGTTTTGGAGTCTCTGGGTATTTTACCTACAATAGTAGCTGCAGCTACTGTTCTCCCAAGCCTCAACCCCAAACCAAAGACATTGTAATCCGAAAATCCTTCAAAACCCCATGTGCTGTGCGTCTTGACTACATACTCGCACCCTCAAAATCCTGAGACCCGCCTTACCTTTTGAAGCCTAATATGGGAGTTTCCGAAAATTCGGGGGTCCTTGTAATGAGGATCCTACTGTTTAGGCTACTATAGAAGGGTCCCCTTTTTGTCGGGAACTCCCATAGGAACCCTACTACGTTTCGGTGGGTTCAGTTAGGTAATATAGGGGTGGCTCCCATTATACTATAGATTTACTAAGGAACCCCCCCAAAATAGTATTGGTAATCATTTGGGCCCCTATAGTATAGTCCTTATAGTATCCCTTATAGTTACCCTCATAGACCCTTTAAAGGAACCCTATTCTAATCCTGAAGGCCCCTAAAATATGTGCTCGCCAAGCTGCAGAGCCTGCACATGGCGTTTTCTGGGCTTAGCCCAAGTCTTTGGAAAACGCTTTTCAAGCCTGGGGAATGAAGATAGGGTTTAGGGTTTATAGGGTTTATACGGCTTATAGGGTTTAGGGTTTAAGGTTTAGGGTTTAGGGTTCAGGATTTAGGGTTTGGGAGAATGAAGATTTGAATGTAGGGGGTTTAGGGTTTAGGATTTAGGGCTTGGGAGAATGAAGACTGGAAATGTAGCCATACGGTTGATGACACACACATCCTGCATTACCTTACTGACCTTAGACTGTGGGAATTATGGTATATTCCTTGTTATGGGTAATACAGGATTTATAACATCAGCCATAGGGGCACTTCGTCGTTAGAATAGGGTTTGGGGTCTAGATTTTTTGCAGTATGGTATTGAGTTTCGTCGAGTTCTGACATTCGGCAAGGCAAATCCAAACCTGTGTCCTCGTAAAATGCAAACCCCCCTCTCCTCCGTAGGGTCTGGCCCGCAATAGGAGAAGCCTTAAGCCAAAGTCAAAGGCCACCCCTAAACCCTAAACTCCCGAAGCCCTAGTCCCGAAACCTCAAAGCCGAAACCCAAACCCCCGAAACCCCCAAGCCCTAAACACTGACCCCGAAGCCCCAAACCCCCTGACCTCTTGCTGCCGAAACCCCAAGCCCCTAATCCTCAAACCCCGAACCCCAAACCCCTGACACCCCAAGCCCAAACAGCCTAAAACCGCAAGCCCTTAAACCCTAAACCCCAAACCCCTTCACCCCTAAATCCCAATACCCCTCAACCCCTAAACCCTGAACTGTCAGCGTATGTAGGAGACCCAAAGTATTGACCTTATGGGCCGTAATCGTCGGGCCTAAGCCCTAGATCCGAAGCCCCTAAACCCTAAACCCCAATCAAGCCCCTCAACCCCTAAATCCCCCAACTCCTCAAACTTAAGCTTGGTCGTAGCTTTGGGGCCCTTACAGGTATGTAGACGTAGGAACCACAAAGGCAAATCAACAAGCTTCCCGAAGTGCCACCTAGTATGGCTAGGAGCATGCGGGTTGTATCCGCCAACTCCGTCTCCAACAATGCACGGCTGAGAAGGCCGTCCTCTGCTAAAGTCAGCTGTTTTTTGCTAGATTTAGGGTTTCGGGTGTGGGGGTCAGGATTTACTTGGGGTTTTAGTCATTGGAGCTTCAGGTTTTGAGGTTTAGGGGCTTAGGGTTTAGGGAGTGCATGGGCCGGGGCTTCTGCGTGAATGTTCTCGGAAGTTGAAAAGCGCAAGCTTTCCTACCTGACCAAATTACGGACCTAGAATGTCAGGGTGCGGTCGTTCACTCTGGTGTCGGCCGACGACATGCTGCTTTGTTTCTACCTATAGTCTCCATTGTAGTTCCGTTTTGGGGTTACCTTATAGGATCCTAACTATACATTTGGTTAAACCAAAAAAATCAGGAACTACAATGGAGACTATAGGCAATCTTCAATGTCGGAGTTGACTGTCACATCTGCACGAGTGGATGCTCCACAACTAGAAACGAGAACCACCGCCCTTCGGTAATCGTCCCTGTATTTAGGGTTTAGGGTTTAGGGAAACCCTAAACCCTAAACCCGTTTACCAGTGCGACAGACCATAAGTAGTAGACGACATAGCCAAAGGCGAGGACGCAGCTGTCGGCGACATGTTGAAAAGTGGGTTCAGGGCTTAGGGTTCAGGATTGAGAGTAGGTTGCAGCCTCACTATCCAAATGCCTTCAATGAAAGGACATGTATCAGGAATCCCCTCATTGCTCAGTGTGTTACGCGTCCCTTTCCTTGCTGGTCCAAGGTTCGCGGACCTAGGTTCCTGAGTAGCCCCTTAATTAACAATAAGGGTACCCCTTTTCCCTACCATTCGGTGTAATAAGGGGGGCCTTAATTTGAAAAGAGGGTGCTACTCAGGAACCTAGCGGAGCCGAAACTAGGTTGGCCCTTGAAAGCCTTTGAAAAATATTCGTAAATAGGGTACTATTAAGCCCAGTAAGGGAAAATTTAAAATGTCCCAAAGGCCTACCTAGGAAAGGTGGGCATTGCTCCAAGGAGATCTCCGACGCGCCCGGCTCGAAACATCAGACGCAAGCCTCGCAAGTGGGCCAGGTCAATGAAGAGGCATTGCCCAGAGACTCCAAAACCCCTTAATTAAGGAATATACCTTATATTATAGTAGGATCCTTTATATGATTCAAGGTATATTCGAACGTTCCTTAATTAAGGGATTTTGGAAGGTCTGGAATTGGCGAGGAGCCACGATACGCCATGGATCGCTGCTTGGTCCAAACTCGTGAGGCCTAGCAGCCCCAGGGCCTTGGTGAGCTCGGGATCCCCCTCGTTTCATAGGGATCCTTAGGGGGAGGGGGTTTAGGGTTTAGGGTTTAGGGTTTAGGGTTTAGGGTTTAGGGTTTAGGGTTTAGGGTTTAGGGTTTAGGGGTGTAGGGGGAGGGGGGGTAGGGGGCCTTAAGGTCCATAATAAGGACTAATAAGGCCTATTTAAGGAAATATAGTCCCCTACACCCCTCCCCCCTACACCCCTAAGGATCCCTATGATCGTTGATGGCGTCCACCATTCCGGCGAGAGTCCAAGCTTGTCTGATCGGACCGTTGGGCTTTTTTAAGTAACCAGGGAGGAAAAAGTATAAACCTTTTCTTTCATGATGGTTCCTTTAAGAAACAAGTATTAAAGTATGGTACTCCCAAGCGCAGACCGTTGAATCTCTGAAGGAGACTCCTGTTTGCAATCTGTGTGGACTTCAGAGTTGGGGTTTAGATAACTGGGAACAGTTTGCATTACTGCTCTGCCTTAACCATCCGCTTGTCAGCACAAAACGTGCCCTCGGACCAACACACTGCCCCCAAACCCCCAAACCCCAAACCCCTAAATCCCTAAACCCTAACCCCCAAGTCTCTAGAACCCCCAAAGCCCTAAAGGCCCGCAAGCCGAACTGAACAAGCACAACCTTCCCCACAAGCGCACGACTCTGCATGTCATGTCGGCGTCGAAACACATAGTCACAATGTACCCTGGTGCTCCCTGTAACTTCGACTGAAATTATCGTATACCGCCAAACCGAATCCTGTTCTTTCAACTCATGGACCTATGTTCACACTCAATAAGCAGGTCGAAGGCGTGCCTGCTTGCCTTTGCCTTGGCAGATATGCGCCATCTGCCGGAACCCTGGACCCAGCCCGTTGGCCTGTGCTCAAGCGGTCAAGCTGTAAGTTTAGGGCTGGGGTTTTACGGCTTAGGGAACTGTTCGAACCATGACTTCTATATTTTTCATGACCATGAGACACTGTGGCCCTGCTCTTTAAAGCAAGGGCCGCGACTGGGAAATTGTAGTTCAGGCTGATCCTCATCGTACGCACTGTACGCCGACGTGCCAGACGGAGCCACTCAGGATGTAAAAGCAACCCTGTGGGTCGGGGCTCTGGGTTTACATGGGAGGTTGAGCTTTGGTCAGCTCAGTAATTACCTAGAGTCTCCACTGTAGTTCCTTTTTTTGGTTTAACCAAATGTATAGTTAGGATCCTATAAGGTAACCCCAAAAAGGAACTACAATGGAGACTTTAGGTAATCTGTAGAAGGGGTTAAAGCTGAAGCATGTTTGGGTTTCTGGGATCCGGTCCCCCGAAAGTAGGCAATGTAATGTCCCCACACCCATATGGGAGTTTCCGAAAATAGGAGGTACCTTCTTTTGGGGTCCTTATAATAAGGATCCTACTAAGTAGGGTACTAAATTAGGATCCCCTATGTTCGGAAACTCCCATATAAGGCTGTTCCGCTGCATGCTTCTGGGGTCCAGGTAAGGCCAAAAGCCCAGACATTAGCAGGTTTGGGGATTACCACTGAACCTCGAGCTCGGAGCCTAAACTATCACCAGATTTTTAAAGCCTGAACCTTCCTTCGGCTGTTTCAGTACCCTCGCACAGAACCCTCGTGGTGCTAATACGACAGGATGCAATAGAGGGTACTCGCGCGGTCTAGGTCTAGGTCACGTTGGGCATGGGCTTGTCTGTAGCCCTCAAAGTCTATAAGGATCCCGATCCCTAAGCCTCCATGTACCCATATAGTCGATACTTAGGCCTTAAAGTGCCTATATAGGGGCCCCTTTAAGGCCTAAGTTCTTACTATATTGGTACATGGAGCCTTTGGGGATTTGGGCACTTTGACTTTGAGGGCTTAGCCTCATGCACGCATTCCGCCTCATCTGAGCCACGAGCCGTATCGCCTTAGGGGCTTTATGGCTGCCTTCCTCTGATTCTGGGACTTCAGTTACTTTCGAATTTAGGGGTTTAGGGGTTTGGGTTTAGGGTAAGTTACTAGTGTTTGAGGCTGTAAGGTTTAGGGTTTAGGGTGTCGGGGCTTAAGGGTTTAGGGTTCAGGGCTTAGAGCCCCTAAACATTGGCAACAAAATGGGAAAAGAGATCCTTGAGAGAGTTCCATGCTTTACGGGATATGTTGGGGGTGCAGGCTAAGGTAGGGACTCTGATATCTGAACACTCCTGAAGCCCTAATTAACCCACAAGGGTTGCCATGCAAAGCAACACAAACCCGAATCCCCAAGTCCCTGAATCTCAAGAGTTCCTGGTACCCGAAACTAAACAAACCCACCCACAACCCTGGCAGATCAAATCCTGAATCTAAGCACCAACTGACCAACTGACACAATAACCCATGCACCGCGAGTCTTCAAGAACACGCTGCAGACCTGTCTCTGGCAAAGCCGACTGATATTGCGTGAGTTTCACAAGAAGCCTAAGACCACAAACAGTTAAAAAGGTACCACTCAGAAAGCTATATAGCCTTACACACCTGTGTATTGATTCAGGGCTAAGGGGTTTAGGGGTTTTGGGGGTCCAGCGTGCCGGGTTTAGGGTTTCGGGGTTTAGGGTTTGGGGGTTTAGGGGTTTAGGGTTTAGGGTTTAGGGTTTAGGGTTTAGGGTTTAGGGGATTTAGGATCTGGGGGTTTAGGGGTTCAGGGTTTATGGGTCAAGAGCCAGTGTTAAAGATCATGGACAACAGCTGAGAGTTTAGGATTTGACATAGGATTTCGCAAAACATTGCCCCGATGCCCGAAACTCAAAAGCAGCTTAGAAGCAAAACAGCCGCCATACGGTTGATGATGTAACCCTGCATTACCTTAATGGCCCGAAACTACGGGAATTATGATATATTCCTTATTATGAGTAATGCAGGATTTATATCATTAACCGTAGTTTAGGGTTCAGGGAAACGGGGTTCAGGGCTTGGGGTCTAGGGTATGTCCATATGTCCGGGTCCAGAAGAAAGCATGCCCACGGCAATCCTGGACCTCCAACTGGGCCCATTCCCTCGATGTCCCACGTTCCCTTGTCGTCCAATCGGAACTCGAAGTACGGCAGAATGTGAACCGTAAACCCTAAACCCTAAACCCCAAAACCCTAAACCCCAAAACCCTAAACCTCAAAACCCTAAACCCTAAACCCCTAAACCCTAAACCCCAAACCCTTAATCGAGCTCATGGATTGGGGCCTCTTTGGCCGCATACACCAGATGAAAGAATTCCTTGAGGAATGCATCGCGGCACTGCCGGCTCCCTTCGGCGGCCGTTTAGGTGGCCATCATCGGGTTTAGGGTTTAGGGTTTAGGGAGGTCACGCCACGTTTCATTCGTGATTCTCATGCTGAAAGAACGTCACGGTCCGCCTCGAACTGCAGACATCGCGCCAGCGTTACAGAAGAACATGCTGAAATTTTCTGACCGAACCTTTCAACCCTCAACCCTCAATGCAAACCTTAAACTCCAAACCCCTAAAACCCTAAAAACCCTGAACCCTGGAATCTAAATCCTAAATCCTAAACCCTAAACCTTAAACCCTAAACCCTTCAAGCCCTAAAACCCAAAATCCTACCCCGCACCCCTGAAAGGCCTCAGACTCTGCATCGCGCGCTGCGGTGGGAAGCCAAGGCTCAAGAAGGTTCGCCAGATTCCTTGGGGCTTCCTATCCCCAAGGGTCCAAGTACCTAATAATCATATACTCTCCCAAATAGCAGCCTACGTAACTACTATCCGAAATCTTAGTACCTAATTATTGGGTCCACCCCCAAACGCGCCTGAGCTCGAAACCCCAAACCCCGTTCCAAACTCTCTTAAAGCCTAAACCCTAGACCCTCCCAAACTCTCCTGAAGCCTAAACCCTCAACCCTCCCAAGTTCTCCTAAACCTTAAACCCTCCCTAAATCGACTCTGTTCTCGCCGCTATGTCACCAAACAAGGGCGTTCTAGATCGATCCTGCAGTCGGGATGTGTTACAAAGGATTTACAAACCTGAGCCTTCTTTGGAGCACTTTTTCTAAATTCTACCTGTACCCTATGAAACCTTCCTTGTAAGGGTTCCCTATTATGATTTCCTTGCATATATATATATATATATATATATGTACATGTGTATGCTTAAAAAGTAGGATATTTGGGGTTAAGGTACACCCTTCAGTTGGGAGTCGGGTTGGCGTGCCGGGATTGGGGAATCGAACTCTGCGGTTTTAGGCTTCGAGGTTTGGGGTCCGGGTTAGCGCGTGGACTTTGCGGTTTATAAGGTTCTAGCGTTTGGAGTTAATACTCATAGATTCCATAGTAGTTCCTTCTTGGGATTACTTCAAAGCATTCTAAATATGAAGCCCAAAAAGGAACTACTATGAGCCGGGCTCTTCTCGGGGCGGTAGCTGCCAGTTCCTGTCTTCGACATCTCCATGCCAGCATCAGTTGTTTACGAAATTTGTCAAGTCCTTGCTTCGTGATAAAGCGTTTTGTGTCGTCGTCGTGCGGAACTGAGCTGCCCGACCATTTTCCGAAGTCGGTGGTAGATATACGTCCAGTCTCTGCGAGTTTCCTCGAAGAGAATGCATGGCAGCATGTTACCGCATGTTGACGCGGCAGCTACATTAGAGAATGCCAACCTTATGTGCCTCGAGCGTCCTGGATCAGTTTGTTCAGTGTGTGGGTGCCTTCAGACAGATAAAGGAGCCTCTGGGTAGTTCATAGGGTCATAAGGAATGTTAATCCTGAGCCCTAAACCCTAAATCCTAAATCCTACTGTAATGTTAATGGTTTAGGGGAGGGCTTCCAGCCCTGGGCTTTCGGGTTGGGGCTTCGGTCTTTGATGCGCAGGCTTCCCGGAGACTCCAATATCCCTTAATCAAGGAACACTCCTTACATCATATTCGGGATCCTCCTATAATTCAAGGTATATTCCGTTATTAAAGGATATTGGAGTCGCAGCCTTGAGGATGTGCCCCTTGGGATTTGCAGGTCTAGGCGTCTGCAGATTATGTCTTGGGGCTCTGGGCCTGATTTACCTCTAAGCCCTGAAGCCCTAAACCCTTAAACCTTTATGATTTTGCTGTTTAGGGTTCAGGTTTGGCCCTTCGCGTGTTTGGCCGTACCCCTGCATTACGTGGTTACTGATCCCGTAGTGCCCAGTAAGAGCCTGTAATTACCAATGATAGGCATCCTGGGGCTTGGTGTTTAGAGTAAAGGCTTAGGGTTTACGGTTGCCAGCCTTTTCATTTCAAGCTGAACCCGAAAAGCGCAGCACCTCAAGCCGGAAGAAATTGGACCAACCTAAGCCCTTCAACCGTTTAGCCCTAAATTCTAGAAGCCTATAAACCTGAACCCCCCCTTCAGTGCGAAACCCGAAGCCCAAGTTGAGCCTGGCGTCTTCGCATGAAAGTCAAGCTCATTGTTCGATGGAAGTGCATCGGCCAGGGCTTGTCTGAGACAGCCGTACAGGGCTTCATAGGTCCTTTTCATCGACAATGCGGCACAAGGTGTTGTTGTTCTTCTCTCTCTCTCTTTCTCTCTTTCTCTCTCTCTCTCTCTCTCTCTCTCTCTCTCTCTCTCTCTCTCTCTCTCTCTCTCTCTCTCTCTCTCTCTCTCTCTCTCTCTCTCTCTCTCTCTCTTCTCTCTCTCTCTCTCTCTCTCTCTCTCTCTCTCTCTCTCTCTCTCTCTCTCTCTCTCTCTCTCTCTCTCTCTCTCTCTCTCTCTCTCTCTCTCTCTCTCTCTCTCTCTCTCTCTCTCTCTCTCTCTCTCTCTCTCTCCCTCTCTTCATATATATATATATGCATATGGTTTTATACGTACGTATTTGCATTTGCATGCATGAATGTATATGCACATGTATATGTAGCTGTATATGGATACGGATATGTGTCTGCATGTATGTATGTATGTATTTATGTCTGTCTGTCTGCCGATCGGTCTGTGCGTATGCATGTATGCATGTATGTCTGTACATCTGTAAGCATGTATACATGTATGTACATACCTGTGAACTAGCATGTACATTGTATACAAATTAATGTTTATATGTGTGTATGCATGTACGTGGGTGTGTATTGTATGTATGCGCAGGTCCCTACACATGTATGCTTCTATACATATGCACATACATATATCTATCTATATATATATATATATATATGTATATATATATATATATATATATATATACACACACAAACCCTAAAACCCTCTGCGTCTTTACAAAGGTTGATAGGGTTTGGTAACGGGAGCTTCGGGTTTTGCGAGGGTGTAAATTCTGCTAAAGCCGTGTAGCTGAAGCTGCGGGTGTCGACAAACCCGTAACCTCCAAAGAGTTTTTTTTTGGACTCCTTTTTCCTCGGGGCTGCTTGCTCCAAAGAGTTGAGGGTTTAAGGTTTAGGGTTTAACGGTTTTGGAGCTTTTTTGCTTCGGGAGTCCCGATGATGTAATGCTATTGCTCTGCATGCTACAAGCAAAACACAAAAGCAAACACTTGAGCTGTGGCATCGAGATACTTGGCTTCTTAATGACCTCAGCCCCTAAACCCTAAACCCTAAACCCTCAACCCTAAACCCTAAACCCTTAATTGGTCCTGCATCCGGCAAATTCATCGGTTCGGCTCATCAGAACAGTAGCCCTGCCAAGGCTTATAGGCTTCTGAGGTCTGCGAGTGTGCGGTCTAGGAATAATAGGTTTTGGGTTTAGGGTTTTGGGGTTTAGGGTTTAGGGTTTATAGTAGGTGGCATTGAGAATTAGAAATTAGGGCTTCCAGAAAGAGCTGTACAGCTGTCAAAAGCACCCCAGAGTTGAATTGACAGTTCTTCACTGCTTGCAAGCGCTTGAGCAGGCTTGTGCAAAGCTTTCATGCATTGCTACACGGGATGCAACAGTTCGGTGCTTATTTGCGAATTCCGGCTTCCGAGCTTTCAACACCGTCGAGCCCCAATACAAATGAACCCTGAGACCTATCCCTACGGGTCCAAAGGACCCAATAATCAGGTACTCGGTTTTAGGATAGTAGTTATGGGCCCAATAATTTTGGTACTCAGATTTCGGATAGTAGTTATGTAGGTTACTATTTTGGAGAGTGTATGATAATTAGGTACTTGGACCCTTAGGATATAAATCGCGACCCTGAAGATGACACTACCGCTGTCGGTCCGGGCCTCGTTGGTGAGACTGTAGGGTTTAGAGTGAAGAGCTTAAGGTATAGAGTAGGAGGGGCCCCCACCCTGTAATAGTGGTATAATGGGAATATACTAGGGCCCTGATACATATAATCCTTATAGTCACTATTACAGGGTGGGGACAGCATCTAAGGTATAGAACTCATAATGAACATAGAAGCGCTGGAACCTGGAAAACTCAGAATTTCGGTTACTTAGAGAACTACTTGGTGTCTTACATCCACGGTATCTTGGCTTACAGGGCCTTCGGTGATCCGACCTCCTGGGCTTCAAGAAAGGGACCAAACCGTGACTTTAAGCTTTAGTGTTTGGGTTTAGGCTTTCGGGCTCAGGGTTTTGAGTTTAGGTCGTGATATCTCAGAATCGCCTCTTCATGCGAGTCATCTTCGACTCCCCATGAACCCAACCTACATGACTGCTGCCCTGCACACACATAATAACTCCAAATCCTCGAGTGGATCCCATAATCGCCCCTGGCATGATCCTTTATTTCTAGTTATCACCACGTAATATAGGGGCCTGTATAATTAGAATAGGGTATTGGGGTATGTTATACTATAACCATAATGAGGCACCCCCCAACATAGTATAGGCAAGTATTGAGGCCCCTTTATTAGGTTCGGGGCCCTTGCAATCGGAAACTTCCAGATGCTGACAGGTAAAAGTGCTACTGACTGCATCAGGGCTTCTGCGACCCACGTCCCAAACTCCGAACCCTTTTCTTTCAACTTGCTCAAACGATTTGAATAGTGTGGCAGCGTGGTTTGGGATGTTTTCTGCAACTGACCTGCGGCAGTTTGGGACTACGGTGCTCAATGCCCTTCACTTGGAGACTCTTAGCCTCAACGCTCCCAGTCCTACACTAGGCTCTAATCTCTAACCGACCGCAAGCTTGCTAAGCTGCAGCCGCTGACGACGTCAACACTTAACCACAGCCGAGAAGTCCTATCGCTACATACTCAACCCTGCAGCTGGAAAGCCTTCGCCTTAAATTCCAAGCCGCGAAACCCACCGCCCTAGACCCCAACAAATGACCCAAACTGCCTAAAGTCTATATACATAAGCTCTACCAGGACCGTTCACCGAAACTACATAAGCACCCTACAACGCCATCTAGTGAGAAGAAACTTCAACAGCATTGTAGCCAACATCCTGCTGATTCCATGATGCAACCCCACCTAGACCCAAGAGTAACCTACGAAGAAAAAGGGTGCCCTTTTTGGGACAAAGGGGCTTATAAGGGAACCTGTACCCTCAAAAAGAGAATAAGGGCCTACTCTAGGTCCTAGCCACAGAATACATAAATCGCCGAATACGAAAACCCTCAAACCGACAGCCCGAAGCCTCATGTGGGGGCCTTAATAATTAGAATAGGGTTGGGGCCGGGGCCTACAAAACTCTAACTTAACTATACTATGGAACTCCCCAAACTAGTATAGGTAATTCTTAAAGCCCCTATACATTAAGACCCTAAACCCTAAACCGATAAACCCCTCAACCGTTAAACCCCCAAACCCTAAACCGTTAAACCCCCAAACCCTAAACCCTAAACCGTTAAACCCCCAAACCCTAAACCCTAAACCGTTAAACCCCCAAACCCTGAACCCTAAACCGTTAAACCCTAAACCGTTAAACCCCTAAAACCCTCCTGTAGCCGAAAAGACCTACCTTTTAAGGAACTATATATAGAAGCCATAATGAGGAACCCTAAAAAGGCAGGTCTTTCCGGCTACAGGCTGACTGTATGATGCAGGCCTCTGCTGGAGATGGTTCAGAGCGTGGTCCTGCAAAAAGCCATGAAGCGCTCTGAACCCTAGCATGACCTGCGGCTTGGGGGTTGCTTTAAAGGGGTAAAGGGGTCTATAAGGGTAACCATAAGGGATACTATAAGGACTATACTACTGTTGATGATATAAACCCTGCATTACCTTAAGGACCCTAAACTATGGGAATTATGGTATACTCCTTATTATGGTGAATGCAGGATTTATATCATCAACGTAGCATGACCTGCAGTATCGGGTTCCTCTAGAGGGGCCTATAAGGGTAACTATAAGGGATACTATAAGGGCTATACTATAGGGGCCTAACTACTTACCTATACTATTCTGGGTGGGTCATTCTTAAAAGCTATAGCATTACGTCCCCCAAAATCCTATTCTAATTATTAAGGCCCCTATGTGAGAACTCTCAACCTAAATCCCCTTTATAGAGCCCGTATACACCCCTCTCAAGGAAGCTACCGGACACTAAGGCGCTTCGCGGACTGAAATCCACAAAAATCCCGAAACCCTGGAAACGACGGACCTTCGCTCTTGGGTTCTGGGGTGTTTAAGGTTTAGGCGGGTTTAAGGGAGCTTAGGGATTAGGAGCTTAGGGTTTTGTGGGTTTAGGGTTTTGGGGTTTTAGGGTGTTTGGGATTCAGGTGGCCATTTTGGGGGTTGTGGGTTGAGAGTTAATGGATTTGGGTTTAGGGATTTCGGTCTTTATTCAAAGTTCTGTCGTGTTAATAACTATCAGCCGCAATGATTGAATAAGAGCAAAGCCCGGAACCCTAAACCTGCAAAACCCTAAACCCTAAACCCTAAACCCTGAACCCTAAACCCTAAACCCTGAACCCTAAACCCTAAACCCTAAACCCACTTCTTATAAGGTTTTGGTATGCGATGGTTTTTGTGGAACTTGTCAGGAACCCTAAACTCGAAACCCTTAAACCCTAAAACCTCAAGCCCAAACACCTACATGGGTGGTTGTCAAAATTAGGATCCCTTTGTTAGGGCCCCAAAAAAGCACATAAGCAAAAATTAGGATAGGGATATCCCATATAAACCCCCTTATAAGGAAGCCCAATAAGGTAGGGATATCCCTCTAAAATGCTTATGCTTATGTGCCTTTTTGGGTCCCTATTTGTGGGTCCTTATGCTAATACGGCACCTAATACTTAGGGTGCCCAAAAAAGAGACCCCAATTTTGACAACCACCCAGAAACACCCTACCCAGAGACGCCAATATCCCTTAAACATTAAGGAATATTCCTTATAAATCATATTAGGGATCCTACTATAATTTAAGGAATATCCCTTAGTTAAGGGATATTGGAGTCTCTGGGTCTGCGCGCAAGGCGGACGGTCCCTCATCCACATCCGCAGAGTCTCGAGATCGTTCACCTGAGGCCGCTTGGTTCCCGAATTCCAAGGGTAAAAGGAGGGACCCTTAATAAGGACCCCTAGGTATTTAAGGGATCAAAAAGGGTTCTATAAAGGGTTTAGGGTTTAGGGTTTAGGATTCATTTAATACGGACCCCTAGGTAATATACCCTAAATACAGCGATTATATACCCATTATATAGCCCATTATAGGGTAGGGGTCCCCATTAAGGGTCCCTCCTTTTCCCCTTTGACGAAGTCTACCTAATAAACCCTATCCCTTTGCGATCCCCACCCCTAAACCCTAAACCCCCAAACCCTGAACCCCTAAACCCCCAAAACCCAAGATCCCTGTAGATCCCTTAACGGAACCTTTAAAGGACCACTTAAAGGAACCCCTTGCAGGAACCCCTAAAACCCCTAAACCCCTACAAACCCCTAAACCGTTTAAGGGGTTTAGGGTTTGGGGGTGTAGGGGCTTAGGGTGCCTAAACCCCTTAACAACTAAACGCCCTTAAAGGAACCCGAAAAGGAACCCCTAAACCCCTAAACCCTTAAAGGAACCCTCAAGGGTTAAGGAACCCCTTAATCTCTTAACCAGGAACCGCTGAAGCCCCTGAAACCCCCATAACCGAAGATCCCTGTAATTCCCTTAAATAAGGAACCCTACACAGTAAAGATCCCTTATAGATTCCTTAAAGGAACCCCCTAAAGCCCTTAAACCTCCATAACCCAAGATCCCTGCACATCCCTTAAACAAACCCTTAAAGGAACCCCCTAAGCCGCCATGAAGGAGCACTCAAACCCTTAAAGGAACCCCCTAAGCCGCCATGAAGGAGCTCTTAGAGGAACCCCTAAAACCCCTTAAAGCCACTTGCCGAGAAGCCCCGGTGGCCGTGGCTGCCCGCGCCTCGGAGAGCCGCTTGCGCACCTGGAGGGATCTGGGGTTTTAGTGGGGTTCCTTTAAGGGACCCAATAGGGATCTTTACTGTTTAGGTGTTTAGCGGCTTTAGGGGGTTCCTTTAAGGGGTTTTAAGGCTTCCGAGGCTTCGTTTAAAGGGTGCTTAGGGTTTAGGGGATGGGTTTGGGGTTTAGGGTTTTGGGTTTAGGGTTGGGGGTTGAGGGTTTAGGGTTTAAGGTTTGGGGTTTAGGGTTTCTTAAAGGGTGCTTATATAGGGTTTAAGGAGTTGCTGGCTTTCGAGGCTACTTATAGGGGTTAGAGTTTAGGGTTTAGGGTTTAGCTTGAAGGGTGCTTTAAAGGGTCCTTCAGAGAGTGCTTTAAAGAGTGCTTAAAGTTAGGACGGCGCTGCTTGCGAAGACGTTGCCGGACGTCTACAGACCAGAGGTCGTGATGTATTATTTATATTCCGTATCCAGATCAGAAAGCGCTTTCTTGGAAGAGGGAGCCGCCAGACCGATAGGTTCCTCACCTCCAACTTTGATGGGAGGCCAACAGGGGGGTTTAAGATTCTTGGGGTAGGGATTCCTTAGTATGAACCCTATTATGGGAACCCTAGTCACCCTCTTGGCCTCCTATGAAACTTGCACCAAGTGAGGAACCACAAGTTTGTTGCGCCGGCTGAACCCAGAGACTCCAAAACCCCTTAACTAAGGAATATACCTTAAATCATATTAGGGATCCTATTATAATTTAAGGTATATTCAGTATATTCCTTAATTAAGGGGTTTTGGAGGCTCTGGGAAGCAAAAAGTGCTTGGATTTGCTGCGCTGTTTCTGTCGATGCTCACTGCTCGGCCAAGAGGGCCCTTGACGCTCAATGGGTTTAGGGTTTAGGGTTTTTGGTTTGGAGTTTAGGGTTTGGGGTTTGCTGTCTCAACACTTCCAGCTGAGGGTTTGTCTTAGAATGTCTTTCGGAGCTCTTAAATAGCGCGTAACTTTCAGGATTTTGAGCTCAAAGGCTCGTGGGAGCATTACCATCGTGCTTGGAGGTTCATGGGTAGTTATAAGTAGGGTAACTATACTTATAACCTATATTAGGGGGCTTATAACCCTACTTATAACTACCCCTGAAGTGGGATTTAAGGTTTAGGTGCTGGGTTGAGGGTTTGGGCAGGGGCTGTGGGGTTTAGGGCTTAGGCTCTGCTATACGGCTTAGGGCTTAGGGAGCTGGGGACTTCTCAAGCCGGGAAACGAGAAACCGCGTCATTTCAACCTACAGCCCCTACTTACGCTGAAGTCCGATAACCCTGTCCCTAAGGGTCCAAAGGACCCAATAATCAGGTACTCCGTTTTAGGATAGTAGCTATGCAGGCTACTATGTTGGAGAGTATATGATAGTTAGGTATTTGGACCCTTAGGGTGTACTAAGGACAAGCAGGATGAAGCCGTCCTCACCGGCGGATTCTGGACGCCCCAAAGCCTCCCAACTAGAACCCTAAACTCTACTTGGAGGCCCTTTTGACTTAGTAAGTCTACTTAGTATCCCCTATAAACCCGATTATTATCCCCATAACCCACCTTACTAACCCTACTTACTAAGTCAAAAGGGCCTCCAAGTAAACCCTAAACATCCCTAAACCCTCCTCTTGTGTCATGGAATGGTAGGCACGATTCCGGTCCCAGGGTGCACTTCATGCCAGTCATCAGGCACAGCTGAAGATGCCAATGGAGTCTCGAAGCCACTCAGAAGTTGGGGCAGGAACTTTTGGGCTGTATAGGAGTTCATGTTAGTTTTAGGGTCGTCGGTTGGAGCGGGATGTGGCGTTTTCAGATCTCCCGTGGATCGCTACTTTCATCCCGGAAGGGCCCGAGTACTCCTGATTGTGGGCCTTTGGGGTGCTAAAACCATATGGGTAGTTGTCAAAACTAGGGTCCCTTTTTGGGCACCCTAAATATTAGGTGCCGTACTATGACAGGGACCCAAAAAGGGACCCTAATTTTGACAACCAACCATATATAAGACTACTTGGACATTTAGGGTCCAGAAGACCAGAAAGTCCAAATTCTCCAAACCCTAAATCTCAAACCTTTAACCCTTACATCTAAACCCCAAGCCCAAGGGATCCGTAGAGGGCTCCTTTAACGGGCTCAATCAAGGGATCCTTTGAAGGAATATTCTTTGAAGGGTCCATGTACCCATATAGTATATACGACGGGCATAAAGAACCTAGCATTGCAGGGCTCAATCTTATGATTTCCTTTTACAGGTTCTTACTTAGGTAGGCTCTTAAGGTTCCAGGTATACTTTGGACCGACCGTACAGGCATAGGGACTACTTTGAGGAAAAAGTATACTACTAGATGGGCACATGGGCTCTTGGGGTACCTTGTGTTCGCTGAATGCTGTCTTGGTTGTCCATAACTTTTGTACATACTTACATGGAGAGTACTTGCACACAGCCCTCACCATAATTCATAGTATAGAGGCCCTGCGTTGCTATGCACAGTCAAAGACAAATTTCTCTAAAGTCAACTCTGGATCCTTCACACAACCCGTGCTAGAGATCGCTTACAAACACATGGACCGTTCCTAAACCCCAAATCACAGGGACCGTTAGGGGGGTAGGGGAAGGGGAGGTAGGGGGCCTTGGTGCCCATAACAAGGACCGGATAAGGCCTGTTTAAGGAAATATAGTCCCCTACCCCCCTCGCCCACCCCCGTAAGGGTCCCTATGACGAAACCCGAAGCCCTACAGTGCTATCATCCGACCGGCCTGATTGTTCCACAGCAGCATCGGCCGAAATCGCCGGTGATAAAGCTCTGGTAGAGGCTCGTCCTTGTCATGAACCTGCTGCAGTAGGGTCGGTGCAGGGTTTAGGGCAAGGGTCCTATAATTCCGGAAGGGCTCTATACGGGAATTGGCGTCTCAGAGCTTGCTTAGGGCTACCAGGTGTACGGTGCCAGTCTTCTTCATTTGGGCATTTATAGGGCTCGAGATGCGAAGCTCAATGAAGAGAATGAAAGACACGGTTTAGGGTCTAGGATCTGCATTCCAAACCTCATGACCCACATGTTTTGACGAAGCTTTCACATGGAAGCCTGCCACGTGAAGCGCTGAAGGTAGCTCTCGAGCGTGGCCTTGCGGTGTTCGGCACTCCAAAGTTTATAACTTCGGTTTAGGGTTTAGGGTTTTATAACCCCAAATAGGTTCAAGAATGGGGCGTCATGAGGAAGGGTCCTGGTTTTGGCTTTCGGCGCTTTGTTGGAATGCCCTGGGTAGTTAAAGTCCTTGTTAGGGCTCTTTTCTGAAAGAAGCTGGTTGCCCAATTCCAGCGCCCGAAACGGTGACCAGAAACAACATGCCAGGATTTTCTAAGCCGGACAGACAAAGTTGAAGGTCAGCAACACTAAGTAGGGTTGTAAACAGTATTTCTGGAGCGATGGCATGGCAGCCTGATTACAACCCTGATGATGTTGACTCTGTCTGCCCGATGCTCCCCGCAGCCTTAGCACCACCGCGGTCGACCCTAAATACACGCCCTTGCCACGGGCCTGATAAAGAGATTGATATTGAGGGTCTGTGCTACGGTCCGAATTTTCTGAAACTCCCACATCTTCATGACTCAGGCATCCACAGTAGCTCAGGCATGGCATGGCAAACCCTGAAAAATCACTTAATCAAGTTCGGGGTCCTAAGATGGCGAATGCAACCATTATGCGCATGCCGCATGCCATGGGGAGCCAACTGGAAAAGAGCACCCAGAGACTCCAATATCCCTGAATTGAATAATCTTCGGGATCGTATTTTAATTTAAGGTATATATCATGAGATATCCCTTAATTAAGGAATATATTCCTTAAATCAGACTCGGGATCCTTTTAATTTAAGATACATATTCCTTATAATTATAAGGGATGGTGGAGTCTCAAACTCAGAGCACCCGTTCCCCAACCCCTCTCTCGCCGACCTTCCAAAAGCTGACGTGTTCGCTCCTGATCTTCGAACGGCGCAGGGCCGGGATTGACGAACTACCCAGAGGCTCATACCCCACCCCTTTTGTGGAATACCTAGTTTTATGGTTAGGATCTGTTAGTAGGTCCAATTTGAAGAAGCTTCCGCGATCCTCCTGCACGTGTGCAGGGACGTGATTAAACAAGGGCGGCGGCATGGTGTTCGACGGCAGGGCAATGTTCGCACCACACGTACTGAGCCAACGTGGCTGTGTGTCGAAGCCTTCGAAGGGTATGTTCGGAGAGCCTGCCCCGCACATCCAGCAGCACCCCACCAGAGGCTTGCTCAAGGGCCTCTCACGGGCCTTTCTTACATTCAAGAACGTGCGATTGAGATGTCCTGCTTTTGCCAAGAAAGGCAGATCTCCCTTCAATCCCACCACTAAGAATCGATGGACTCGCCCGTCAAGAAGCTGCAAGCCTTCATAATACAGGGACTCGATGTTGCGCATGATCTTAAAAAGGTAGACGCTCTGAAACAGGGGAGGGTATGAGCCTCTAGGTAGGGTTTAGGCTTTAGGACCCTAGTATGGTTTTGGGACCTGTAGTTCTATAATGGTAGTACGTAGGGACACTCTTGGTACGGGGTGTCCTGTCCCTAAGGGTCCAAAGGATCTCATTATTAGATACTCGGGTGTGGGATGGAGGTTATGTTGGTTACTGATCTGGACCCTTGGGGTTACATCGGACTATCAGGGATATGGGGCTTTAGGCTTTTACGAATTGGAGATATCCGAACCATGGTTGAGGGATATAGCATCTCGGGCGTGCGGATTTCGGATTTAGGCAGGCGGTGCGACGTAGGGAGATCATGGGTTCAGCGATGTAGATTTGGGTTGCAGGGTTCACGGAGCAATGGCTCTCGGTATTGCAAGTCGGCTAGGGTAACTCGCACACATGTTGTGGTAGCTCTACCCTGGTAATTTCGACTATCGCTGCTCACGACGAGTGTGGTAGGAGCCTCAGAAACGGGGAAATTGAAGTGTAATGTAGGGGCCATAGTAACTGGTTTGGGGGGCATATTATGCTATACTTCCGTAATAAGGAAGCCCCCAAAACAGTGTTACTCGTAGTAGATACTTAGGCCTCTACAATAGGGCCCTGAGCCGTTTCCATTCAAGCACCGACTTACGGCCAGAATCCTTCAAGCAGATTTCCGAAACCTTAAACCCTGAACCCGAATCCTTCACTCAGATTTGAAGGTCTTCCGGAACCCAAAGATCCTCGGTCTTAACCTAAACATTCCTGACCTCAATAACAGCCTCACAAAGCCTCGACCACACTGAGCCTGAAAACGACCCTCAACCGATTCTGCAAACAGCGAATTACAAACACAACCGCAAAAGCAACCGCTCTCAGCCGAAGGTCACATCCCACAGCCGACCCCGGCGGTGCCGACGTTCGACCTCGCCGAGTCACTGAAATTAGTATGGGCCTTAATTAATAATTTGAATACGGCTTTGGGCTCCTCAACTCGAAGTGCATGTTCAATTAACTATGTAGGGTGTGCGGTTTTATGCAATAGCGGAATGAGGTTTTATGTTGACAAACAGAGCTTCCGCAGGCTTCCGATCCAAACTATGCCTTTAACTAAGAGTTAACATTTCTGCTCCCTACAGGCCAGTGCAATCCTTATGACCCCTATAAAACCCGTTGACAAAGTCATTTGGTGCCTATATAGTTGCAATTAGCTAGAAGGTCAGGGGGACCCCTTTGAAGGCGTCTGGAGCTGAACTCCAGGCTTCACACACTCGGGGCTTGAGAATGTCGCTTGCCAACTCCGGCTGAGGGTGCTTTATGGCGATAAGGTCAGGCTCCCCAGAGACCAACATCCCTTCATTAAGGATATATGCCTTAAGTTCTAGTAGGATACTAATATGATTTAAGGAATATTCCTTGACTCAGGGATATTGGAGTCTCTGATTAGTATCCTACTATAACTTAAGGCATAATCCTTAATGAAGGGATGTTGGAGTCTCTGGGTAGAGGGCTTTCGGTTCAGGGTCTAGTGGCTAATCGTCACCAGTCGCCAGCTCTGGGTTTACCGTACAATTCCGGTGTCTCAGGGAGTACCTATAGTCTCCATTGTAGTTCTTTTTTTTGGTCTAACCAAATATATAGTTAGGATCCTATAAGGTAACCCCAAAAAGGAACTACAATGGAGACTATAGGTAGGGGCTTAAGGTTTAGGGTTTAGGGGTTTCGAGTTTCGGGGAGTAATGTAGGGGCCCTTTTAGCATTGACCTTCGGGTTTGTATTTGCATTATCGTACCCAAAAAAGGTTGAGAGTTACGTACCCTACTACTGGGTTCACAGTTCTGCACGATTTCCTGACTTGCACGCAAAAGTACCGGGTTCACCGCGTTGCGGCCTTGTGAAAAACGACAAAAGGGCGGCAAGAGCGAGGGTTTAGGGTTTGGGCACCTCAAACTATCGCAAACCAGTTGGTTTGCGAGGTCCCTATTTGGGAGTTTACGAAAATCAGGGGTACCTTGTTTTGAGGTCCTTATAATAAAGATCCTGTTATTTAGGGTACTATATTGGTCCGCTATTTTTGGAAATTCACATTTCTGTTTAAAGAGGGTTATCTTTGGACCAAGCCATAAGCCCCCAAAACAGGGTAGGTTATGCCAGTTCAGTCAACAAGCTCATGGTTCGGCGTTGCTTTGCTGAGGGCTTTTGCGTGTAACAGTTTGGGGCTACAGGGATTTTGGTTTTAAACCGGGGCCGTAGAACAAAATGCCTACACCTCAAGATTTAGGATGCTAAGATCAGTTGAAGGGTCAGTAAGACGACTAGGCAGGCTGCGAACAGTATTATAAACATCGCGACCTAGATGAAGGTACCTATAACTTAGAAGGGGCCCCCACCCTGTCATAGTGGTATAATAGGAATATAATAGGGCCCTAATATAGTCCTAAGAGTCACTAGTACAGGGTGGGGGCAGCTTCTAACCTATAACACTCACTATGGTGGATGATATAAATCCTGCATTACCCTAAGGACCCTCAACTATGGGAATTATGGTATATTCCTTATTATGGGTAATGCAGGATTCATATCATCAACCGTACCGATATACTCACGAAGCTAAGTCCCCTGAGATGTTAATCAGTGTTTCTGGATTCGGCCCTGATCTTGAGGAGCCTAACTTAGTAGGATCCCCAATGCAGCACCTGATCCAACTCCTTTAGGATTTAGGCTTGAGGGTAAAGGGTTTGGAGGGGTCTGAGGTTCCTCTTGTTGGAGGTTAGCGACGGGGGTTTGAGGCCTTAAAGACTTAAGCTACCAAAACATGGAAGTTTCCGAAAATAGGGGACCCTAATCTAGTATCCTACATAGCAGGATCCTCATGATTACAAGGACACCATAATAAGGTACCCCTAATTTTCAGAAACTCCCACACATTTTTGCAGGGTCTCTGTAAACGTCAGGTGCTAATGTTTGTAATAATAACGCATCTGTACCGGGTCGATGATCGAAATTTGGCGAGCCCCTACCCCCGAAAAGCCTGAATCTAAATCTCCCCCTTGCATGAAACGGATCTGAGGACTCCTTCGCAAACCTCCAACAACAGGAACCTCAGACCCCTCTAAACCCTTAACCCTCAAGCCTAAACCCTAAGGTAAAAGCCAGAAAGTTGGAATATGATTATCCTAACCCTTCTGTGGTAAATTATAGGGTATCCTACCCTGAAACCATATTCCAACTTTCTGGAGTTCCCTTTAAAGGAGCTGGATCAGGTGCTGCTTTGGGGATCCTACTAAGTTACTAGCTACAGTCCATTCGCTTCCGCCTGAGGATCCCCAGTGATCTATATAGGAATAGTACAGGCTCCCTGGTGAGTTTTGGGTAGTTGGTACAAGGAAACTAAGACCACAAAAAAGGAACGGTTTAGAGTTTAGGGTTTAGGGTTTAGGGTTATAGTTGAAACCATCAGTTTAGAGGCCCCCTGCCATACACTGGCAACCTGCGCACAATCCCATAGGGTCCTTCAGTGACAAGATCCGAAAACTCGCGCTGAGGGAAGAAGTAGGAGTCGATATAACTTCATATGCCAAGACCCGCAAACCCTGAATGCTTAAACCTACGTTAGACATTCTTGTCGGAGAAGCCTGGGCAACGATGTGCCGCACGAAGGCTCGATTGCCCGTGTGGTAGATGAGCACGACAACCTTGGCTGTTAGGCTTTAGGGTTTTTAGGGTTCAGGGTGGGTTGTAGGGTTGAAGAAAGTTTAGGGCATAGGACTTTATGAGGGGGTTTCACGTTTTGGGGCTTAGGATTACAGCAAGCTGCAAGACCCCGAAAGCCCCAGGGCACCGAGAAGACCAAGGCCTCGAACCCAACCTGGAACCAGAAAGCCATATCTTAGTTGCTGAGTTCATAAGCCCCCCAAAGTGCACACTTTGGGTTTTATAATAGGTAATATTATCCCAAGAAGTGTAAAGTGTATCCACTCAGCTACTAAGGTATGGCAGAAGCCAGAAAGGTGGAACAGCATTCTCCTCCTGCCATTAAAGTAAGGTAGAAGGGGATTGCAGCACTTATCACCCTAAATGCATGTTCCAACTTTTCTGGGATTCACTATAAACTTAAAAATCCTAAGTCTAATAAACCCTCCACTCCATTAAGGTGCAATGGACTTTCTCTCCGCAGAACGACTTCCCGCCCCGCAAGCCCGTAAGCAACCCCCGTGCTTCAGGGTGTACCTGGACCCCATCGGTTCTTGTTTCAGAAAACTTGGCAGCTCGCGTAGAGCTGCCACATTTGTTAACCTTCAACCGAGCACGATGGGCGTGCACAGAGCACGTGAGCTTGGATGCGCCGGCGCAAACGGTCGTGGCGTATTCCGCACGACAATCTCTGCACTTGAGCAGACCTGCCGCCCAAGATCCTTAGCAGCCTTAGCAGAAGCATTATGTTTTTTTCAACTTTTCTGGCGAAACCACGAAGAGGAGCCACACGAGCAGAGAAGCGCAATCAAGTAGCCACCCCAAAAAGGAAGGTTTTGCAGGGTCGAAGTAGGGTTTAGGATTTACGAAGGCTTTGGAGTCAGGGTTTCATTCGGGTTTAGGGGTTTAGGGTTTAGGGTTTAGGGTTTAGGGTTTAGGGTTGGGGATCCCAAAGCACAAGCTCAAGGATTTTCGGCGGATTGCTTCAAGAGTTCGTAGCTTCGAGCGTTGAGGGCTAGGGTTCAGCCTTGGCTATACCCCAAGGGTCCAAGGGACCCAATAATTAGGTACTCGGTTCTAGGGTAGTAGTCATGTATAGGATAGTAGTCATGTAGGTTAGGATTTTTGGAGCGTATATGATTATTGGGTACTTGGACCCTTGGGGTTAGGCTTTATAAGGCTTTAAAGCATTTAGGGCTTGGCTTTTGGGCGTGAGGCTTTGAGGCTCGAAGGCTTGGGCTATGAGTACAAGGCTCCGTGTTGTGTTTCTGGAACCCTTGAACTCTATACCCCGAACACTAAACTAAAAACTGAATCCTACACCATAAACCGAAAGCAATAAATCCTCAAGCCTCAACCCTATGAAACCTAAACCGTCAACTCTCATAGCCTTCCGTTAGGGACCCAAAAGGCACATAAGCATGAGCTTTTTATAGCGATATCCCTACCTTATTGGACTTCATTATAAGGGCTTTTATAGGCGAGATCCCTATCCTATTCTTTTGCATATGTGCTTCCGGTGGCCCTATTGAGTCATAGGCGGCCAAAAGGGGTTTTAGCCTATGGGGTTCAGTAGGGATTAGGTTAGGGTTCCCATAATGTGGAAACCGGGTTAAGGCCAAATAGTGCTGGGATTCCCCATACATTACTCTTCCCTTACCCAAGAATCTTAAACCCTGTTCTGCTGTGGCCAAGGAGCTGGCAGGACTGCTTCGAAAGAGAGGATCGGCCTGCTTGAGCGGAGACACTCCGGGGTCCAACGGTTGATGATATGAATGCTGCATTACCTTAACGACCCGAAACTATGGGAACTATGGTATATTCCTTATCATGGGTAATGCAGGATTTACATCATCAACCGAAGCAGTCCTTATTTACGCGGGATTTAGGCTTTGGGGTATAGGGTTTAGGGTATAAAGTTCAGGGTTTAGGGTGTGGTAGGGTTTAGGGGTTCCCAGTAGTCCTTGTTTATAGTTTTGGGTTCCCACAAAGGTCCCAAAGTCCTGTAATCGGGAGTGCTTGGACCCTTAGGGTGGGTATTCAGGTCCTATGGGTGCCTTGCACCAAGAATCAGGTGAATTGGTAAGCAGGGTTACATGAGAAACATAGTTGAGGTTATGAAAACATGCCTATAGCAATCACCACCAACAGTAAGTGCCTCAAGCCCTGAATGAATGTAGCTCCAGTTACGTACCCAAACAGCTAAGTCCCTAATTGCCCAAATCACCAAATAATTAGATACTCGGTTTTAGGCTAGTAGTTTATGTAATTTACTATTTTGGAGAATATATGAGAACTCGTTTAATTAGATACTTGGACCCTTAGGGAGCTCCGTAATCCTCGAAGTACGGTTGGCTGCTCACTTGGTCCCTTTTTGCACTCCAAGGAATCAGTTCGGAGCTGCGAATGCAGGAGTTCCGGGGCTAGTACTTGGAGGATCATGGGACTTAGTAAGTAAGGTTTTAACTAGTCTAATTGGGGTTAAAAGTACTTATTAGTATAGTTACCCCAATAGTAACCTTAGTTCTATGATCCTTGAACTAGGTTTTGGGGTTTAGGCATTAGGTTTCTGGTGTTAGGGGGATCAACTTACAGGCTATTGCCGCCTCTGCGGCCGTCGTGTTTGTTGATGCGTGCCAGCAGAGGTACGCTCTTCTTTGACGTCTGAAGCCTGTGCTTCAAAAGCTTGCGAGCCACCCAGAGACTCCAATATCCCTTGATTAAGGAATATATCTTAAATAAATCTTAGGGATTCTACTATGTTTCGGGTATATTCCTGAATCAAGGGATATTGGAGTCGCTGCACAATCCAGTGGCAGGGGTGTGCGACGCCTCCCGGAACACACGCTGCAGCTCCCTGCCTATGCTGGTGTCCCCGAGCCTCCGAAAACGTCACCTTGCTGTGACCGACCTGGACGAACTCCGGCAAAGAGCACAAGACTTTTAGGGGTTAGGGTTTCCTTGAAGACATCCTGACCAAAACCCTATTCAAATTACGAGAGCCCTTATTATATGTGAGAGGCCCAGAAATACAAGGCCTCGGACGCTGGCTGGGGTTCATACTCGGGGCAATAATTATGGGGTATTAACTTCTAGAATGGGGTCTTGGAGGGGGCCTAAGGAATAATATCCTACTGTAACTACAGAAGGTATGTCGGCCGCTCTCGCAAAATTTACAGGGCACCCTAAAGAATAATATTGGTAGTAATTAAGACTTCTATATTCGACCCCGGAGTGGCAGACTTAGCTCCACAAGAAGGCAGAGTTTGTCATGTTGGCAAACCCTAAACCCTAAACCCTATACTTATAAACCCAAAGGCTTCTAGCTTGGTTCTTTAAAGTCTCTGAAAAGTCGGGGAGGAGATCCTACGGGGCTTACGGTTTGGGGCTTCCAAAACCTATCTGGGGTTTAGGGTTTAGGGTTTATTTTTTTCGTAGGGCCCCTATAAACTCCATATTGAGGCTTACCCATAGGCTCCACAGTAGTTCCTTTTCGGGGTTCCTGTTTAGAATCCTATAAGGTACTCCCAAAAAGGAGCTACTAGAGAGATTGAGGGTATAGTAAGAACCACCCAAAGTATGGGTACGGTAGCGGAAACAATAGTGTTTAGGGTTTTGCGCGTGGGGCTTCAGGATCGCAGTGAAGCTTTGCAACCCGAGGCTTAACGGCACTAAACATGACGGCTTCGATGGTGTACTCATTATGCGCGAAGACCCGAGAGCCTCTACCCTAAACCCTACATCCCTAAACACTCCCTAAATCCCTCCATCCCTGAACCCTATATCCTAAATCACTACATCCTGAACCAGCAAAGCTCCGAACCCTCAAGCCACGGGCCTTGAGCCAGCCGAAACCCTGAAGAACCACGCCCGAGTATTTTGCTACAAGACGTTCCATATTACATGCACGATGAAATACGACTATGACTTTCAATCAAGCACTAATAGTAAAAAAAACATGAATACGACAATCCATGATCGATACATTCATGTATCGAAATGGACTTGAAGGTATGACGGGAGGCAGCTCTCCAGGCTGAGAGGCCTCCAGAATGTACTTTTCAAACAGGGCTTAGGGTTTAGGGTGTAGGGCTTGGGTTTGGGTTTGGGGTTTGGGTGTGGGTTCGGCTTCGAAGCTTTAGGCTTTAAGATTTATAGGGATTTGGGCTATGTATGGCCTTGCAAACTAACGGTTAGGCTGTAGGGTTTAGGGTTTAAGGCTTGAGGGTTACAAGGGCTTGGGGTTCAGGGTTGAGGGGTAGAAGGGCCTAGAGGGCAAACTTTCCCAGAGTCGATGCCTGAGCTGCTCCACGCAGATGTTGCAAGCATCATGCCGGTGGAAGACGTTCGTGAAGTGGCATTCCTCTCTGGGTTTGGGGTTTAGGGTTTAGGGTATTTAGGGTTTAGGGTTTAGAATGTAGGATTCAGGGAAGTGGCACTTCTGTCAGCGATTCCGTCGCAAAGGGCATGAGAAGGAAGGATCGGAGAACTTACGCAAGTAGGTTTCTTACTGGAGATGGCGTGGCCAACGTCACCAGGATACCTGTAACCTGACGTCTCAGCTCCCAAAGGTGCGCTGATGCCATGCCATCCCATTACCCTTTGCTCAAACCCAGCCAACCCAATTCTTTTATTTTGCTACGGAATATCATGAGCTAATTAGGGACATGTATTTCGCAGGACCACCATAATATGGGGTTCATGATTTGGGTGTCAGGTTGCGAAAAGAGGCATGGCTCAAATATTCTTTAACCCTACAATAGTAAAGGGAATCGTCAGCCAGCCATCAGAAATGCAGGAAATAATTAAAATAGAAAAAAAGTAGGAATCATGGATACGAAAAAAATAGGAACGAAATTACGCAATAGGAAAAAAGTAGGAAACAAATAGGGCAGCAAATAGAGCAAAACACAGGCATGAGCAGCAGCATCCACAGAACAATCACAACAGCAGCAATACCACGATAACTCGCATACTTAACGATACCCTCTACCCCCGACGCCCGAAAACGGAGGCTAGAGGCGGGAGGGCCCAGCGGGGGGGGGGGCGGGTTGGAGAGGGGGGGCCTCAGCGGCCTCCTACTTTTTTCCTATTTTTGTCCTATTTTTGTTCCTATTTTTTCCTATTTTCAGGAAAATGCGATTTTTTGATTTTTCCTAGGAGGGATAGGAAAAAATAGGAAAAAATTAGGAAAATAATAGGGAAAAAATAGGAAAACAGCTGCTCTGCCAGTCTGCCACCCCCCCACCCCGGACCACCCCCCCCCCCACCACTGCCGCTCTGGGGGGTGCCGGGACGGGAAGGGGGGGGAGGCAGGAATGGGGAGGGGAGTAAGAGGTGGAGGTGTGCTGAAAGCTCCTTCTCGCTTCCCCCTCCTCCTCCGGCACCTGTCAATCATAATTCAAGCACGCTAACCTCCTATGCCGAATTTCTCATCCTATTTACATTCTATTTTTTTCCTAAATTGTATCGTATTCCGAAATCTGACCCTATCCGAAATCCTATTCCAAATCCTATTTATTTCCTAAATTAATTAATCGTCTGAACTCCTCGATGCTGGCCAAGAGCTTTTTACTACCCTACAACAAGTCTTCTTATGTATTATGATATCGGCTCAATGGCTTGGCCCTGAAACCCCTAAACCTTAACCCAAAGCCAAAACTCGTTGGGAACCCTATGCCCTAAACCCTAAAGCCCTAAACCCGGCTACTAAAGCCTAAACCCTGTTCCCTAAACCCTAAACACCCTAATCCCGTAATCCCTCACAGCTACCCGACTCACGTCGACGATGGCAGATTGTGGGGTGGATCTTCCACGGCTGCAGGTTTCTTGTGTCAGGGCTTCGTGCAGAAGGGCGTGCTTAAAGGATCATGGGACTTAGTAAGTAGGGTTCCTTACAGGGCTACTACAAGGTTTACTATAAGGGTTCTATAAGAGGGTTTTGGGAGCACTTAAAGGATCATGGGACTTAGTAACTGGGGATAGTATTAGGGTAGCCATACCTATAACTACTTCTAACCCCAGCTAAGGTACTTATAAGCATACTTGCTACGTCTCATGATCCTCCAGTAACTGCGTTCCGGAGGGCAAAGCCAACTTTTTCATCGAAGACCTGGCCAGGAGAAAATCCTTGCTTATCTGCTGCCGTCATTTCTTGAAGCACGATGTCAAGCGGAAGGTGAAGCCCTCCACCATAGAAATCTGAGTCCAAGCGAAAGAATCCCGGCATGACGGATTTCTAAGGACAAATGGATAGTCGTTTGCGACTGTTATCATAGGAAAGTCATCTGGCATCATGTGCGCATGGCATGCACCCATGCCATCATATGGCTCAGCTCTCATGGCAAATGAATGATAGAGCGGAATGTCTCCATCTGGCGAGACAGCCACAATCAGATCGTTTCTTGCTTTGAGTGTTTCTCGCACAACGTGCGGAAAGAGAAGATCTGCTCCGCCAGTGTAAAGGACCATGCTGTTCACCTGCTCAAATCCTTTTCTGAACAGTGAGTTACCTCGCTCTTAGGATTTTCCTCGGTCAAAGCTAGCTATAAGAGTGACTCGAACGAAAACTGTAACCATGTTGGAGAGTAGAGGTCACGGACCTTGAGAGCAAAACCCTAAACCTTAAAGCCGAAAAACGTACACCTTAAGCAATATCTCCGAAACTCCAAACCCAAAGTTCTTAACCTGAAAGCCTGGATCTTACAGCCGATGCGGGACACGGAATTCCTGAGAAAGTGTAAAAGCTTTCGGGTACACGTCAGGGTTTAGGGCTGAGGGTTTAGCGCGGGTCTTTGATACGGGTAGCTCCTTGAGGTTCACCGAAGAAGCCCAAAACCTGCGCAAGTTATGTAGTTTGTAAGTCATGACCCTTCATGACCCATCGGGTAGAACCTGTAAAAAATTAGCAGGATATTCGAGCCACAGGTAGAGTTTAGCTTACTAAACCTCCTCCACGACCCCTAAACTCCCACAAAGCCCGCCCACCACCACAAGTGATGCCCTTAAACTGCTTAATATAGGGGCCTTAGTACATAGAATCGGGTTCCCTTTAAAGGGTTCCGTTAAGGGATGCTATGAGAGTACCATAAGGGTTCGGGGTTTAGGGGCCTTAGTAACTAGAAGAGGGTTTCGCGGCATATTAAATTAACTATAACTTTAACAAGGAACCCCCACAACAGTATTGGCAATTACTCAGGCCCCTGTTTTAGGCTCCGAAACCCACCCGTTAAGATCCCAAACCTTCCTCGAAGATCCTCCAGAAGGAGAAGTGTTTCCGGCCGGTGAGGTCGGCAAAGGTCCCTCCCAGAGACTCCAACATCCCTTAAGGAAGGAATATGCCTTAGATTAAAGTAGGACCCCTCATATGTGTTAAGGGATATTCCTTAATTCAGGGATATTGGAGCCTCTTATTTGCGGGTTTCGGGATTTTGGGTGTTCGGGACAGGCGACGCTGAGTATTTTGTGGCTTCCTTGGCTGTTCGAAGGTAACTTACATCAGCTGTTTACAATTTCCTTGGTGGGTATGCGAAAGGCTCTTGAGAGGTTTGCCGGTGTCCTGGTGGTGTCGTGATCGCGTGCTGGCGGCATCATCGTGGTGTACTGCTGGTCTCGTGGTGGTCGTGGCCCGTGGCCGTAGTAGCACCGTTGTAGAACCCTTCTAGAGCCCTTGTAGAACACAAGTCCTGATAGAACCCTTGCAGAACCCCGGCTCAGATCTGCCTAAACCCTACCTATAGTCTCCATTGTAGTTTTTCTTTTTTGGTTTCAACCAAATATATAGTTAGGATCCTATAAGGTAACCCCAAAGAGGAACTACAATGGAGACTGTAGGTAAACCCTAAACCCTAAACCCTAAACCCTAAAAGTAGGTAAACCTTAAATCCTACAAGTCACCCCCCCAGCGTCCTCGAAGGAAGCGTCGTAGCTTCCGAGCGTCCTCTTTGTCCGGCAGGTGCTGAAGAACCTGCGGATCGAGGGGGTTCCTTAAAGGGATCTATAGGGTTCCTTAAAGGGATCTATAGGGTTCCTTGAAAGGGATCTATAGGGTTCCTTAAAAGGGATCTATAAGGTTCCTTAAAGGGATCTATAGGGTTCCTTAAAAGGGATCTATAGGGTTCCTTAAAAGGGATCTATAGGGTTCCTTAAAGGGATCTATAGGGTTCCTTAAAAGGGATCTATAGGGTTCCTTAAAAGGGATCTATAGGGTTCCTTAAAAGGGATCTATAGGGTTCCTTAAAAGGGATCTATAGGGTTCCTTAAAGGGATCTATAGGGTTCCTTAAAAGGGATCTATAGGGTTCCTTAAAAGGGATCTATAGGGTTCCTTAAAAGGGATCTATAGGGTTCCTTAAAAGGGATCTATAGGGTTCCTTAAAGGGATCTATAGGGTTCCTTAAAAGGGATCTATAGGGTTCCTTAAAAGGGATCTATAGGGTTCCTTAAAAGGGATCTATAGGGTTCCTTAAAGGGATCTTGGGAGGATCAAGGGACTTAGTAACTAAGATTTAGGGTTCCGTTTAATAAGTGTACTATTAGGGTTCTATAATAGGGTTCCTTAAAGGGATCTACAGGGGTTCTATAATGGGGATCATGGGACTTAGTAATGATCCTCCAAGCAGGGTCTAGGGATGACCGGGTTTAGGATTTATAGGGTTTAGGGTTTAGGGGTGATCGGGTTTAGGGTTTATACAGGGTTTAGGGTTTAAGGTTTAGGGTTTTGGGTTTTGGGTTTTGGGGAGGATTTAGGAATCTTAGGGGTTACATGGGTTATTCAGGCTTTGGGGATTAAGGCTTTGGACAAGGTCGGCAAGGTTTGAGGACCTGCACACGCTGAACAAGACCTGAACCTTACATAAACAGTTCTGTAAGGCCTGAACCCAAAGCTGAGGGGTCTATAAGGGTTCCTCTAAAGGGATATGCAGGGTTCGGGGTTTAGGGTTCCTTTAAAAAGAGATCTATAAGGGTTCCTTTAAAGGGATCTTTGGGGCTGACGATTCAAGATGGAGGGGTCACGCTTTTTCGGGTTGTGGGTCCTAGAATCTGGATGAACTCTGTATAATGATTCCCTTATGCCTGAACCCTAAACTAGTTCATGGTTGGGATAGGATTAAAAATCTAAATTGTTATTCCTTATTGGGTTTAAGTACCCATAAACATGTAAAATGTTACCCCAAAATGACAAAGTAAACCCCAAACCCTAATGACCTAACGAAGCCTCGACACTTAACCAGGTTGGCCTTTAGCACTGAAGCGGCCTATCTCAGCCCCCAAACCTTCATGCCAAAACCCAGCGCGTCCCGAAACCCAAAACCCCCAAACCCCAAAAACCCTAAACCCCCAAACCCATAAAACCCGAAAACCCCAAAACCAAACCCCTTAACCCAACGCCTCCCAGACTCGAGCATGAGACCGTGGTGAACGTAAGGTACTGCATGGCTTTTCTGGGCTCTAATACCCTAAGGCTCTAAGGACTCATATATTAAGGCTTCTGGGCCTACAGACCATACTATAAGGCTTTTGGGCTATTTTGAGCCTTAGGGATAGGGTTTGATCGGGTATTGGTCCCCAAAACCCCAAAACCATGCTCAGCTCCAAGACCCCGAGCCCACAAACCCTACTACTCTAAACCCTACAAACCCTGAGAGCCTCAACCCTAAACCCCACTACTCTAAACCCTAAACCCTGATAGCCTCAACCCTAAACCCTACTACTCTAAACCCTAAACCCTAAACCCTACTACTCTAAACCGTAAACCCTACTACTCTGAATCCTAAACTTGTCCTAAACCCTAAACCCTACTACTCTAAACCCTAAACCCTACTACTCTGAATCCTAAACTTGTCCTAAACCCTAAACCCTACTACTCTAAACCCTAAACCCTTAAACCCTGAAGCCCGAATCCGAAGAACCCAAACCCTCGTCGCCTGCCTCTTCGAAGCGCAGTATCGTGGTGCTCTCAGGATCCTCATCAAACTCCTTGCAGAGCTTGAGTGCAAACTTTGCGGAGTAGTAGGGTTTAGGGTTTAGGGCTTAAAGTAGTAGGGTTTAGGGTTTAGGGTTTAAAGTGGTAGGGTTTAGGAAAGTTTAGGGTTTAGGGTTTAGAGTAGTTGGCTGCTTGCTGCTCGTGCAGTTTTCTGGGCGTAGCCCAAACCCAAAGGGTCCAAGTATCATTATGGTATATACTTAGACCCCCAAAATACCCTATAAGTTTATACCACAACGATACTTGGACCCTTTGGGAAATGAGACGCAACCTATGTGAACTCTAAAACGGTGGAAACAAGTGCGGGGGTCGAGGTTGAGGGCGCCAGGGTTTGTGGTAAAAGGGGCTTGTGGTTGGTCAGTTCGCTTCGGACCTTGTGTGCCGCCTTAAAACCGCAATCCTAAACCCTACGTCCTACACCCCCAAACCCTCAACCATCAACCATAAATCACAATCTCCCAACCCACGCCCCAAACAATGAACCCTAAACCCTAGACCCTTAAACTTAAACCCACACCCTACACCCTCAATCCGAAACCCCAAATCCGTCCTTGGGGCATTGCTCTCGGCATTGGCGGATTGTTTCCTGACTGCTTGGAGGATCATAGGACTTAGCAAGTATGCTTATAAGTACCCTACTTGGGGTAATTAGCAGTTATAAGGTTTCCCTAAGAGTAACCTCTTTTACTAAGTCCCATGATCCTTTAAGTGGCCATACTCAACGGACCCAGGCTTTCGGCTCCGCAGGGGGTTTTTGAGCCTGTATACGGGGTTTTAGTACATTTTTGTGTATGGAGCATATGAAAGATCCCGAAACAGTAGACCTTAGGTATACTTAGATCATCTTAAGGATCCCCCTCTAACTCGCTGCTTGACTGCTTGATCCTCAAGTTGGCGGTTTGGCAGACTTTGGGGTCGCTCTCCATTCATACCCAACGATCAAGTAAGTATTTTCAGAAGCCCTTTACCTGTACCTGAAACAGATGCCCGATTGCTGGGCACTTGGACCTTAATACAGTCCGACTACTTGGTACGTACCCGAAGACCAAACCCTAAACCCTAAAGACATCTGCCAACTCGAAGGTCAGGCACTTTCACAAAGGGCCCTATGTATCGATGTAGTAGCATGCAGGGTTTCCATATTAGGAACTACTACTACTACTACTACTACTACTACTACTACTACTACTACTACTACTACTACTACTACTACTACTACTACTATGACTTAGGGAAGTATCCCCCATAACAGTACATAGGACCCTTTGGGTTTAACACATGGTAAGAAAAAGAGTGTCTTGCAGTTACACTTGAAGAGCATGCCGGCGCCTGAATGCCCCCTGTTTTGTTTAGAAGAAGAAAGACAAAAAATGAGGAGCACCTAAAGCGTCAGCATGGTCTACTTGGACGATCAAGGGACTTAGTTGGGTTATAAGTAGTTATAAGTATAGTTTCCCTAATAATAACCTTACTTACTAAGTCCCATGACCCTTCAAGTAGGGTTTAGGGTTTACCTGGACAGCCCTAATAGCCTACCTTTTGAAAGGGTTTAGGGTTTCGGGGAAAAGGAGGGACCCATCATGGGGACCCCTACCCTATAATGGGCTATATAATGGGTATATGATTGCTATATTAAGGGTCTATGCCCTAGGGGTCCGTATCAAGGGTCCCTCCTTTTGCCCTTGGATAGCAATCACACCACCAAAGCTCAAGTGCCACCCATCCCCCAAAGACCTGAACTAAACCTTCACCCTGAAACCCAAACCCTAAACCCTAAACCCCAAACCCGAAACCCTATAAACGCAAGACCCTGAAACTATAAACCCGAAACCCTGAAACCCTAAACCACATAAACCCGAAACCCTGACACCCCACACCACATAAACCCGAAACCCTGAAACCCTAAACCACATAAACCCGAAACCCTGACACCCCACACCACATAAACCCGAAACCCTGAAACCCTAAACCACATAAACCCGAAACCCTGGCACCCCACACCACATAAACCCGAAACCCTGAAACCCTAAACCACATAAACCCGAAACCCTGACACCCCACACCACATAAACCCGAAACCCTGAAACCCTAAACCACATAAACCCGAAACCCTGACACCCCACACCACATAAACCCGAAACCCTGAAACCCTAAACCACATAAACCCGAAACCCTGACACCCCACACCACATAAACCCGAAACCCTGAAACCCTAAACCACATAAACCCGAAACCCTGACACCCCACACCACATAAACCCGAAACCCTGAAACCCTAAACCACATAAACCCGAAACCCTGACACCCCACACCACATAAACCCGAAACCCTGAAACCCTAAACCACATAAACCCGAAACCCTGACACCCCACACCACATAAACCCGAAACCCTGAAACCCTAAACCACATAAACCCGAAACCCTGACACCCCACACCACATAAACCCGAAACCCTGAAACCCTAAACCACATAAACCCGAAACCCTGACACCCCACACCACATAAACCCGAAACCCTGAAACCCTAAACCACATAAACCCGAAACCCTGACACCCCACACCACATAAACCCGAAACCCTGAAACCCTAAACCACATAAACCCGAAACCCTGACACCCCACACCACATAAACCCGAAACCCTGAAACCTAAACCACATAAACCCGAAACCCTGACACCCCACACCAAACATAAACCCGAAACCCTGACCCCAACCACATAAACCCGAAACCCTAAACCAACCCGAAACCCTGACACCCCACACCACATAAACCCGAAACCCTGAAACCCTAAACCACATAAACCCGAAACCCTGACACCCCACACCACATAAACCCGAAACCCTGAAACCCTAAACCACATAAACCCGAAACCCTGACACCCCCACCACATAACCCGAAACCCTGAAACCCTAAACCACATAAACCCGAAACCCTGACACCCCACCCACATAAACCCGAAACCCTGAAACCCTAAACCACATAAACCCGAAACCCTGACACCCCACACCACATGAAACCCGAAACCCTAAACCCGAAACCCTAAACCACATAAAACCCGAAACCCTGAAACTTAAACACACCCCACATAAACCCGAAACCCTGAAACCCTAAACCACATAAACCCGAAACCCTGACACCCCACACCACATAAACCCGAAACCCTGAAACCCTAAACCACATAAACCCGAAACCCTGACACCCCACACCACATAAACCCGAAACCCTGAAACCCTAAACCACATAAACCCGAAACCCTGACACCCCACACCACATAAACCCGAAACCCTGAAACCCTAAACCACATAAACCCGAAACCCTGACACCCCACACCACATAAGCCCGAAACCCTGAAACCCTAAACCACATAAACCCGAAACCCTGACACCCCACACCACATAAACCCGAAACCCTGAAACCCTAAACCACATAAACCCGAAACCCTGACACCCCACACCACATAAACCCGAAACCCTGAAACCCTAAACCACATAAACCCGAAACCCTGACACCCCACACCACATAAACCCGAAACCCTGAAACCCTAAACCACATAAACCCGAAACCCTGACACCCCACACCACATAAACCCGAAACCGTGAAACCCTAAACCACATAAACCCGAAACCCTGACACCCCACACCACATAAACCCGAAACCCTGAAACCCTAAACCACATAAACCCGAAACCCTGACACCCCACACCACATAAACCCGAAACCCTGAAACCCTAAACCCGAGACCCTCCAAGCTGAGACCTGAAACAATCGAGAAGATCACGCGGCTTAAGTTTGTATCTAAGTTGCCCTAAACTCTACCTGGACCCTAAGGAACCTGCCTTTTTAGGGTTCCCTAGTATGACTTCTTTATATAAGTCCTTAAAAAGGTAGGTTACTTAGGGTTAAGGTAAACCCTAAACCGTTTGCGTCTAAGTTGCGCGGAAGAGGGCGTAGGCCAACATCAGATCTGGCAGCTCGTGGCCTGCGAAGGTGAAAACCGACGTGTTCCAGTTAGAGTTTACCTTAATACCAACGTACTTTTTACACTAACCCTATTATAAAACAGAACAGAAAAAGTAGGTTTTGGTAGGTCAAGATCGGGGTTTAGGGGGTTTAGAGGTTCGGGTTTTGGAGGTAGGGTGTAGGAGGCTTTACGGCGAAAGGCCTTTCGCCCTTTTGCTGGCCCATTCCATGCTTCGCTGCATGTGAATCAATGGGAAAAGGAGGAACCCTTAATGGGGACCCCTACCCTATAATGGGCTATATACTAGGCATATAATAGCTATATTAAGGGTATTATACCTAGGGGTCCTTATGAAGGGTCCCTCCTTTTACCCTTGGAGTGAAGGCTCTCGTCCGACCCATTGCGGTAAGTATCTATACTGAACTTAGAACCCTAGCAAAAATTATGATTTTAGCTGTTTCTTAGAGATTATAATAACCAAAGATTAAAAAAATGTTTCTAAGTACCCCTAAGGTATGGTAGGATTACCCAAAGGGTCCAACTATCATGGTATATACTTAGACCCCCAAAATGCCCTACACGTATATACCAGAATAATACTTGGACCCCTTGGGTTATGCAAATCCACAAGAGTTTAAAGGTTACTTTCTGCTCAGCTACTAGGCTATTGCCTAAGGGTCCATGTACTCCTATAGTATATACATCTGCCTTAATGTAGTCCCTACATAGGTACTTTGGGCCTCATGTATCTCTATATGGGTACATGGACCCTTAGGGATTATGATTTGGGGAAGCACCCCCTATGACAGTACCCAGGACCCTTTAGGTCTGGAGATCTGCAGCGGCTCGCCTGGGCGGTCTCTCGTTCATCTGAGTTGTCCTTTAAGCCCGTTGACATATTATATGGTTTAGGGCTTAGGGTTTAGGGTTTAGGGTGTAGGGTTTAGGGTTTAGGGTTTAGGGTTTAGGGTGTAGGGTTTAGGGTTTATGGTTTAGGGTTTAGGGTTTAGGGTTTAGGGTTTATGGTTCTCCACAAAATAGTAGGGGGGAAACTCAAAAAGATCCCAAAGGACAACCCAGTCATGCTCTACCTGAAACCTGTAGAACCTTGCTTTTTAGGGTTCCCTGTTTTGACTTCCTTACATACGGTTGATGATATAAATCCTGCATGACCTTAAGGACCCTAAACTATGGGAATTATGGTATATTATTATTCCTTATTATGGGTAATGCAGGATTTATATCATCAACCGTATAATGTCCTGAAAAAGGTAGGTTATTGGGGGTCCAGGTATAGAGCTTGGTCTTAGCCTGAGTTGCCTTAGGGTTTGACCCTAGGGCTTAGGGTTAGGTTTTAGGACCGAGGGTTTAGGGCTTTAGCCCAGTGTTTCTGTGTGAGATACTGGTATATCTATTCCTATGTCTCTCTTGTCAGCAACTAAGATCGTAGAAACGGGCATCTCTCCGTTTGGAACCTCACTTTCCGGAGCCACCCACAACACACTTTTCTGAACTCTTCTGCCTTAACCTTAAACCCTAAACCCTAGGCTTAAGGTTTAGGGCTTAGGGTAAACCCTATTGGATGAGCTCCGCCTTTCAGCAGCCTTGTCACCTCCTGCGTACCAAAGGCACACTTTGGACGCAGAACCTCGCGACAGGTATAGGACTTATGGCCTATGGCTGCTCTTCAAAACACCTATGCAAGAAGAGCCACAGTGTGGGTTCCTTTCGTGGGTAGGATCTCAATGTGTAGGATTGCTCTCCGCTATTCCCGCCCCTAGCCTCATGGAAACAGCACTCAGCATCTAGCGTTCCTCGTTACGGATGTAGAAGATCACTGTGTCATCAATGCGACCCGTCTTTTGCCCTTACAAGTGCACTTCTACCTTAGGGCGCCAATATGGTGCGCATCATGGGTGTGCTACGTAGGATTCATGTCGTAACTAGTTGTTGCCGTTCAGTGTTTAGAGACGTATGTATGTAGGTGTAGATGGAGTGATGGATGGATGCATGGATGGGTGTTTATGTACTTGAACAACCTTTCTGACACCCCTAAACTTCGCATCCTCCGCACGATGGTACAGGCAAGTGCGCAGAAACTTTAATCCTGCCGGTGTATGCTTGCTATGTTGGCTTGTTTGTGACAGGTCTGATCTCTTTTTTGTTGAGCCCCTTTCTCTCCTGAATAGATCTACACTTGAACATCCCAATAATGTGGTGGCGAAGGCTTCTGGTCCGTGAACCACTACCTACGGGCTCATGCCCTACCCCTTTTTCAGGATACCTAGTTTTATGTTTAGGATCTGTGATCTTAAGAAGTAGGCGCCCCAAAAAAAGGGGTAGGGTATGAGCTTCTAGGTAAATTAAGGTGTTGGGTGTCCTTTCCCAACTGCAACCGAATATGTTAAGGAACCGAGAGTAGAATCTTGCTGTTTCACGCGATGCCTATGGTACTCTACACGTGGCAACCATGAGCCCGTGAACCCTGACTGGGTTCTTGTGACGGGCTTTACTTTAAGTCATATTAGGGATCTATAGTAAATTATATGAAACATGGCTTCTCTATTCTGGTACCTGCTAACTTGAACTGAATTCCTAGACAGCAGTACATGGTCCCGAGTAGTCCCTTTATAAAATAAGGATATCCTTTTTCCAACTATTCGGTTTTAATAAGGGGACCCTATACCTGAAAAACCAAAAGGTACTACTCAGGAACCTAGAGTAACAGCGAAAACGAAAGGCCCCCAAAACTCAACCCTAAAACACCTTACCTAAACCCTTAGCCTTAAACCTTTAAACCCTGTAAAAAAGAGCTTCCTAAACCCTTGAACCCTTAAGCCTTAACCCCTTCACGCTGAGTCCAAAGCCCTTAAAGGAACCCACCGGGCCCCGTGCACATTGACGGAAGAGTTTGCGGCGGCGAGAGAGACCCCCTTTCTGCCGGCCTCCTGGAGTTCTTCGACGTCTTTTCTATACTGAACTTAGAACCCTAGCAAAAATTATGATTTTAGCTGTTTCTTAGGGATTATAATAACTAAAATTTAGAAAATATATGTAAGTTTTGGGTTCTTTTCCCAAGGGGTCTTATGTACTGTTATGGGGGATACTTCCCTGAGTCATGATAGTACTTCCTAATATGGAAACCCTACATTCTACTATATCGGTACATTGGACCCTTCGGGTTTGGGTTTTGGGGATTTTCGCTGTGGATGGGTTTAGGGTTTAGGGGGTTTTGGACACCCCTTTGAATGGGCCATGGTCTGATCGCCAGGCAGGGTGTGATAAAAGGTTCTGGTGTCAGAATTCATAATGTCACTCGGCTCCAATTCCATTCAAACATCACTCGCAAGATTCGCATGGAGGCGATTCTGTTGCATGCCCTCCACCGCCCCGATCCCAACAAACTTACGAGCCGAAACCTTAGACACTCTCTCTATCAGCCATGAGACCCCAAACCCCAAAACACAAGCCCGATACTCAACCGCCAAAGCCAACCCTAAACCCTCCAGAGACCCTAAACCCTCGAGAGACCCCCGAACCGTCCATCCATACCCAACATCCGTGCCTTCATCGTCGCAAAAGAATCTTGAAAAATGTTACACCTGATGATTCAGAAGGGACTATCGGAGAATAGTCTGAACCTCTTGTTAATTGGTGATACCCATAATATAAAGATAAACCGTGCATATCAAATCACACGTAACCGTCACGAAACTGCGTGTGGGAGTTTCCAAAAAATGGGGGACCCTAGTAATTATAGCGCCCCAAAAAGTAGGATCCTTATCAGAAGGACACAAAACAAGGCACCCCTCAATTTTCGGAAACTCCCATGTACCTGTGAAGCCGACCCCAAACCCTAAATCCCTAAACCGGGTCTCGCCTGGCGTCCGTGGCCGCTTCGGCGCGCGCCCCGTTTCGCTCGCTGCGACCGGGAGCGCTGCGCTGGGTGGGGAAAACCTTCGGGTTAGAGGCTTGTAGGGCCTGTTTGAGGCTTTTAGAGTTTATTTACAGTTGCAGTGTGCGTGGTAGTTCCTTTTGGGGTTGCCTTACAGGATCCTACATACAAAAGAGACTAAAGGTAGAGGCTTGTAAGGGTTTTAGGGCTTACAGGTTAAAAGGGCTTGAAAGACAGAGGATTTATGTTGAAGGCTTATCGGGCTAAACATAGACAGGCTTAATTGAAGTCAAAAACCAGTTTACCTGGACCTCAAAAGTATGCAGAATAATAGCCTTTTATGGGTATTGGGCCATTATTTTACCTACTTTTGGGGGGGTTAGGTTGGGTTTAGGGGGTTTAGGGGTTGAAAGGACACCTTCGAGATGGAGGAGGTAGATCCGGTGATCTACCCATGTGTCAAGTTACCGGATCCAGTTACGATAACTTGGGATTCCGGGATTAATTAGGGCCCAAAAAAAGCACATAAGCAAAAATTACGATAGGGATATCCCATATGAACCCCCTTATAATGAAACCCAGTAAGGTAGGGATATCCCTGTAAAATGCTTATGCTTATGTGCTTTTTGGGTCCCTAAAACTTGGGATTCCGGGATTAATGAGTGTCAAACGAAGATGCATCGCATCAACTGGATGCTGCCAGTCTGGGGTTTAGGGCTTATGGGGGCTAGGGTTTAGGGTTTAGGGGTTAGGGCCTAGCGTTTCTAAGGTTTAAGGGTTGGGGGTTTAGGGGTTTTGGGTTCAGGGCTTGCGAGGCTCAGTGTTTAGTGCCGTCAGGACAAAACCTTTAAGCTCGTGACTGCTTTTGCCGTGCTTCGGGTTTGCCTCCGACGTTTAGGCTATTGGGCTCGGGGGTTTGCGGCCAAAAACCCTAAACCCTGGACCCTTGTCTAGGAAACAGGATTCAGATGATGCTTATGGTGAACCCCAGAAAGTTGGATAGGATGATTAGTGCTGGGATTCCCTATACTTTGCCTTGAGGCATCCTAAACCCTGAATGTAAGCTGTTGAAGATGCAGGGTCAATAGTGGAATTGCTTAAGACTGGGGTACCCTATGGGTGGTTGTCAAAATTAGGGTCCGGTTTTGGGTACCGTAAATACTAACTATGAGGTGTCGTATCATATGAAGGACTCAAAAAGGGATCCTAATTTTAATAACCACCCATACGTAGGTATCCTCATGGTGAAACTCATACGGTTGAAGACGCTTGCATAGAAACTAGGATGTACATTAGGGCTTGCCTGGCTGAATCTGGTGAGTGTGAACGACTTCCTACACTTGGGCCTTCATTGCCATTATTACTAGTCCCTCCAGCATAGGACAAAAACGTAGATATGCGCATAAATAGTCCCATGGAGCCCACATAAACGGAGCCGCATGATAGCTTCGCACCACATCGCTCAGATGCTGCGGATGGATGGCCGGGTCCAGAATCGACATGTACCCGTCTACGCTGCAGTATCTGCAGCAATTAACGAATGTTCGGGCGGCGTGCTGCAGCCTGACGTGGCTTGCAAAACGTCTTGGTTCGCCGGTCATGCAGCTTGCAGACAAGGCATTTTATTACTCAAGCATCCGGAGCCGCTGCCGTTGCACCTCTGCAGTCTCCAAGACAGAGCAGAGAGCGTCAAGCCCTTGTCGCAGCTGTGCTGAGTACACTCACCGAACGACTAGATCTACCAAAACCCTTTAACAACTCTAAATTACTGTGCTTGTGTGTGTGTGTGTGTCTGCACGTGAGATTGAATTTCCACTACGAAGGTCATTCTACGAACCACTGGTTGAAAACGACAGAATGATAATCGTCTAATAATAATCGTTGTGTCCATGGCGATCCAAGCCAACATCATGACCACGATCGATCATCACCACCATCACGCTCAAGCATTGCAAAGACAACATCAACCCCAATAGCACCGTCATCTCTGTCGTCATCTTCGGTACACTTATCGTTCTCCTCCTCCTCATCATCATCATCATCATTATCATCATAATCATGCATAATTACCCTGGTATCGCTGCAGCGAAAATCAAAACAAGCGTAGACATAGCAGTATTGGTGCGTCACTAGCCACAACCACTGAGCTACCGAATCGCAAGAACCGCATCAACTGACGAATCAAGACCAAATCAAAAGGCAAGATACTGCTATCCGTAAAGCCATAGCCCTAAACCCCTTCAAATGACAAGCCAAGATGCTCAGCAACTTTCAATCGTAGGCGCTGCCACTGCTTGAACCCGAACACCTGCTCCTGGCGCCGCGCAAAGGGTTTGAGAGTTTGTGGTTCAGGTCCCAACCCGAAACTCTGAAGCCCTATATAAACTCTAAAACGCTTACAGCCTACGTACGGGTTTAGGGTTTTGGGGGGGCGAAGGGTTGAAAGTTTAGGGTTTGGGGATGTCAGAGCACCAGATTACCTCTGACCAGGCTCGGCGTGTTGATTTGTTTCAACCCCGGAAATGGCGCCCTAGTCACTAGACCTCAAGCCTGGTGACCAAACACTGCATCGGACCATGATCCCTGAAACTCTACTTGGAGGTTCATGGGTAGTTACAAGTAGGGTTATACGTATGGTAACTATACTTACAACCCATATTGGGGGACTTATAACCCTACTTATAACTACCCCTCAACCTCCAAGTACATCCGTTTTCAAGCCGTACGTTCTCCTGCGACTCCGGCACTTTGTCCGTGAGAAACCGTAGGTGTTGCAGCAACGGCGTGATCCTGCTTCGGGCTTATTATCGCGACTTAATAATTAGAATATGGTTTTGGGGTCCCTTATACTATAGTTACAATAAGGAACCCCAAAATAACTAGTAGAGGTAGTATAGGTACTTAATAATTAGAATATGGTTTTGGGTCCCTTCTACTATACCTATAGTAAGGAAAACCAAAATAGTATAGGTAGTAAAGGTATTTATTAACACTATAAGCCCCCTGCGACCTACGAAACATCCCAAGGGTTCCGAGGCAGTCATGGCTTTGGGGTTCAGACGTTTTTCTTGCGTGGCTCATGTGGCTCTGAGGGTGAGGTTTCCCTAAACCCTAAACCCTACTCTACTGAACTTAGAAACCCTAGCAAGAAACAAAATTTTAGCTGTTTCTTAGGGCCTGTGTTCTTCAGGATTGAGACCCTCGACCCTGAACTCTTCAAACCCGACGGCCCCGAAGCCCCAAACCGCAACCCTTAAAAACCTAAACCCTCGCAACCCGGATCGCAATCCTAAAGTCTGTAACTGTTTAGGGTTTAGGGTTCAAAGTTTAGGGTTTAGGGTTTAACTCTAACCCTCAACCCCACAGGGAGTGTGTGGATTTGGAGGTCCCTCCGCGGGCTTATGCATCGGCAGTACTGCGCTGTTCTCGAAGGCCCCTTACAAAACGACGGCTTTAGGTGTCTTCTTAAGAAGTTCGTTTAGGATTTTGGGTTTGGGCTTAAGGTTAAGGCTCGCCTAAAGCCTGAACGCAAGAAAGCACACCGTAGACCCCTGTGTAGTAATGACATGATGCGTTCGGACACAGCCTACCCGCAATGCCCGAAACTGTACGTACGTTAGCGCATCTACATATGCAGTTTGTTATGACTAGGGCACCATAGATTTGGGGGGACTTCTGATGAAAGTATAGAATAGGATCTGTTATTGCTCGAAACTCGCATGTGACCATGCAGAAGCCAAATCCGTCTCATGTATCACGGCTCACGACACACCTCCAAACCGAAACCTCGATATAACTACACCCCAAACTTTCCGAAATCGGCAATCCTCCTGTTCCAAAAGCGTCCTTATACCCCAAACCCCCCGAACAGTGAACCACTAGATTATAGGGCTTGGAGACTTCACAGTAGCAGATTCCTATATTTGATGTTAGTTACAACCGCACAAAACTATCCCAAGCCTAATTCCCCACAGTGGCCTTTTGTAAATCCAGAAAAGCCCTTAGCTCAAAACCCTAAATATATCAAACCCTTGTCGGAACAAGTAGCAGTCACACTATGCAACCCGCGATCCTATGACTTCGGGCCGATGAACCCGTTGAGGGTTTAGCCCTAAGGGTCCAAGTACCTAATTATCATATACTCTCCAAAATAGTAACATACTTAACTACCATCCCAAACCTAAGTACCTAGCTATTGGGTCCTTTGGACCCTTAGGGTAGGGTTAGGGATCCTACTAAGCCGCCACGAAACACTCGAATCACTGTGAAAGCAGAGAAAACCGGGACAACGTTCACTGCACACAATTAACGCTACGGGCTCAGAAACCTGGGAATCAGCACATGTCGGTTTACTGTAACGGGACTGAATAATCGGAATAGGGTTTCGGGGAAATTTGACAAAAACAACCCTGAGATATATGGGTAGTTCTCTGAATCAGAGTCCCTTTCTTTAGCTCCCAAACATAGTACGGCACCTCCTTTTAAAAAAAACCCAAAAGGTACCCTAATTCCAAGAACTACCCGTATGGCTGCTGGGACAAGCGCTTGGGTCTCAGGGCTCGCGGGTGGTCGGGCGCGCCTACAGCTAGTCAGACTCCCGGGGCAGGATCCAGAAAGTAGACCCCCTAATTGGGCCCCCACAGGGTTTAGGGTTTAGGGTTTTTTTTTTTTTTTTTTTGATACGCGTTGACCTAAGGACTCCTAAGTCTGCCTGTACAGGCACGCGTAGGGTGAGACATGTACTGAAACTCCAGGGTCGTGTAGTACTTCTTGTCAGCACGGTTCATCTTAACGTAGAGCGACCGTGTATTGCAGGTTCAAGACGGGGCACAAAGTAGGGCACAGTAGCAGACAACGACACACCCATCTCGGCTTCCAGGAGGAGCATGCACACATACTGTGTCAGGTTCACATACAGCCCAAACCAGGTACTTGGCGAGGTCTTCACCGAGATGTAGTACCACAAACTTCCCCTGCTGCACCTCATTTCGCCCAGCATTCTGCGTAGTACTTTGATCCTGACAAACATGAAATCCAGCACGGCAAACTCGTTGGTCAGGTACTGGTGCACAGCGATCTTGTCCAACTGTGCGGTCTTGTTCATCATGTACAGGTGCTCGACGATCTTGTTCTTCAGGTACAGGAGCATTGCGTGGTGGCCCAGGTCGTTGGTTAGGCATTGGTGCACAGTGATCTTGTCCAGCATGGCGATCATGTCGGTCAGGTGCAGGTGCACGGCGATCTTGTTGTTCAGGTACGGGAGCATGGCATGGTAGCACAGCAAGTCCACGTAGAGGAGGATCATCCCGGAGCTCATTGACACATTCACATAGTTGTACACCGCATTCATGTAGTGCAGCTCCAACATACTGGACGAAGCGACAACCAGGGTCAGCAAGTTCAGGAGCATGTTCTCGTAGCACACTAGGGCCACTTAATTGCTCAGGGGCAGGTTCCTGTAGCACACAAGGGTCACGTATTTCAGCAAGGTGGTCGCAGAGTATATCAGCACGAGCACGTAGTGCAGCAACTACACCTCTAAGATGTGCCCCAGGATCATGTTCAGGAGCACCTCGTAGTCCCATCCAAGTCCCCAACATGGCAACGGAGTCATCTTCGTCCTCCTCATCACTGTCACCCCTATCATGGCTCCTTCGATGTTCATCATTTTCCTCGCCATGAGCATTCTGTCCATGGGCAGTGTCCACCGCATTTGGTACCACGACTTCTGGGCCATGAGCATCTGTCCCACGAGCAACATCTACAGCTGCAGGTGCCGCCTCGTCAACTGTTGGTGGCATGTGACCATCTGGTACAACAGGTTGTGTAGGGGGAGCACCATTGTTGTCACGTCTGTGGATTCCCGACGAGCTAGCTGTAGAAGGTTCCAGCTCAGCCAGAGGACGTTCCCACCATGGCTGAAGGCAGGGCACCGTTGCTCCAACGACTTCACGTAGCCAGGGTGCTTGAGAGGGTCTTGACTGGCTGCGCCATGGTGCCTGGGAAGGGCGCGGCCTGCTACGGCTCCTCGGACCACTGTGATGTCCACGGTGACTTTCCCCACGGCCTTCGTCTTCTCGTCTTTCACCATGCATCACACGACGATCACTTTCATCTCTCAAGCACGCCCCAAGTAGACGCAAAGAGGGGTTGTCCGCATCTTCACCCAGAATACTCGCCCAGATCCGTTGTACTTGCAGGTTGGCATCCCCATGATTGACGGACGTGTTGACATTGGGACACGTCCGCAGGGCCTGAGATACTGCACGCTGGAGGTAGGACATGATCTGGGCCATGGTTTCTTGTCGATGGAGTAGGCGCCTTGCGATCTCGCGAGCTGTCCCTGGTGAGACCGTTTGAAACGCCCTGCGGACAGCCATCTCAATACTCCAACATCTTACTGCATGATCTTCGGCGTCTTCACGTGCAGCATCAAGACGTTCGTGATCTGTGTCCAGCGCCTCAAGTCCCATAGGTCCAATACCTGCCCCAGGGACCATTGCATCATTGGACACAGGAATATCAGCCCCTTCCTCAACGTCATTCTCCCCAATCTCTTCCCCATCTTCTGCGTCTCCATCTGCATCCTGTGGCTCGTCCTCGTCGTCGTGGTCACCACCCAAATCCATGAGTGAACTGACATCTCCTTCATGTGGGTTGTCCACCCTTCGAGTCGCCGAGCGAGAGCGCGAACGACTCCTCATGTCTGCAACATTTACTCTTCGTCCTCTTGCATCCACTTCTTCTTGGAGACGTCGCATCGCGACACCAGGTGCACTCTCTAACATCCCCCGTTCAAACACATTGGCCATGAGCACGCACAACCTGTTCGTCCATTGTACAAGCCGGTCACAGACTTCCGGATTGATAGGTTCTCTCCGGAGCGGGAAGACGTGAGAGCTGCGTGACCGCCCTTGACATCGATCTGCCACGACCCCCTCCAAAGCATCTTGGAGCTCTGCTCCGTTCTGAGATTGAGCCAAGAAGTGCCCCAAAGCCCATCTCGCCTCAGGTCCAAGATCTTCAAGTACCAGGCTTTCATATTCACCCATGAACATGTCAAACTCCCTGATGTGGTCCTGGGCGACACCCACACGGTTGAGCACATTTCGTTCATCGGCACGCAGACCTGGTTGTTCCATAAAACTAGCCTCCTCCATTTCCTCATAGACCAGGGGTCGCTGCATAAACTCAACATTGTCACCATCCTGGTCGCCATTCTCCTCACCATTCTGGTCGCCGTTCTCCCTGTTTTTCGCTTCCTTTTCTTTCTGCTTCTCGCGGGCCTCTTTGTCCTTTCTGTATTGTCGAAGCCAAGCAGGCACCCACTCACCACGTTTCCATTCTTCAAAGCGAGCAGCTCTTCTGGCCTGTCGTTGAGCACCTCGCCCCCCTTCATGACTTCGTTGTTCTTGTTCCGTGCGGGGGCGGTGCACGAAAACTCCATGCTTGTAGAAGCCCTCGGGGGCGGCATCCAGTCCACGTCCACCAGCACCTCCATCGTTACTTGCACTTGTGGTATCATCAGTCCCCCCACTAGTCCGAGCCGACAAAGAAGATGACGTCCCACTTGCACTCACCCCACGTTGTACCAGCGTAGAAGACGAGGAGGAAGTTGCAGCCGGGTCGCCCTGTTCATGATCTGCTTCATAGGGATCATGTGGAGCTCGACGAGGTTGTCGTAGATCTCCCGAAGGTTGATGCCATCGGTCACGTCCAGGTCGAAGTTCTCCCCAACGGCGCACGAGTCCAGGGTGGTTCTGAGCGCGAGCTTCAGCCGATTCTCTGTC